CATAAATACCACGCAGTTTGAAGTTGTTATCTGACTAGAGCAGAGGGGGGGGGGGGGGGGGTACAACGATCCGAATAGCTTGTATTAAATATCCATGCGAGATTCTCGAAATGCAGTAGTTTGTTTCTCAATAAAAGTTTTCGTTTAACAGCTGAACTATGATGTGCATAAATAACTAGACCGTCACTACGGTCATCCGCTAGATTGTTTAATATCACCCCCCCCCCCCCCCCTTTCTCAATACTGCCAATGTTACCGAGAAGTTAAAGCCAACACACACACACACGCACACACACGCACACACACTCACACAAAATGTACAACTTCTAACCACGGTACAAGTCGACGGCTGCTACTGCTTTGTTCATTTTGAACGACCGAACTTATAATCCAGCTACATAATACAATATACTCGAGATTGTTCCACAGATACGACATAAAAAAATCTAATTTGCACCTGACAAGAATCATCATCAAATCTATTTTCTTACGCTAGACAAATAAATCGATCTACAATCTTTAGAGGCTAACCAAAGGCGCCATAATGTCTGGCTACACTGCAGCTATACCCTGCCACACATTGGATCTAGACTTTTGCTTTGTGAAGTGATGATAATCTGTCTAGTGATGATGATAAGCAGTGGCGGAACTAGAAAAAATGGGCCACCCCGCAAAAAAATTTTTTGGGCCCCCCCATATATATGTGTGTATATATATATATATATATATATATATATATATATATATATATATATATATATATATATAAACACACAATACGAACATAGGATACTGAACGGGTTTTGAAAAAAAAAATTCAATTAAATCTAATCACAACAACATGTCATGTGTATCAGTGGCGGAACTAGAAAAAAGGCCCCCCCCCCCCCCCGCAGAATTTTTTTTGGGCCCCTATATATGTATATATATATATATACACACATATATATATATATATATATATATATATATATATATATATATATATATATATATATATATATATATATATATATATATATATATATATATATATATATATATATATATATATATATATATATATATATATATATATATATATATATATATATATATATATATACAGAGAGAGAGAGAGAGAGAGAGAGAGAGATATATAGATAGATATATTATATATATATAGATAGATATAATATATATATATATATATATATATATATATATATATATATATATATATATATATATATATATATATATATATATATATATATATATATATATATATATATATATATATATATATATATATATATATATATATATATATATATATATATATATATATATCGAGGGGTCAATGGGGGGTTATGACCCCCCTAACCCCCCCCCCCCCCCCCTGCCTACGCCACTGGCTAAATCACATATTTCCGTTAGGAGTCCCCACTCAAATATGTACAAATGTTAGGCCTATGACAGAAACCTTTGCGGGGTTGTACTCAGCAGTTTTCCAAGTTTTCATGGCGATTGGGTGAATGATGCAGTAATGCATAATAATAATAGAGAGAAAAATGTTTTTCACATGTACAACTGTATGTGGCCAGGTCACGCGTTGGAAAACCTTCTGATTTAGGGGAGGGGGGGGGGGGGATTAACAAAATTTCTAAATAATTATATAAAAAAAATTAATCTTACCTGCCCTGTTTTGTGAATTATATGTGCCTAATACTATGAAAGTAAATTAATATGTGTTGACTAGATCTAGTGCTGTCTAGTGTCTGACAAAATGTGCTGAAGTGGTGAATCGTACGGTTAGGAAGTAGTTCATAAACGATACATTTATCTCCTGGATACTTGTGAGGTTGAGAAAAAGGGATGGGATAGGGGTCGGCTCGGGAAAAAACTTGAAAGGGACAACAAAACGCCTTGATCTATGTACGTCAGCATCGCCCATAGTAAAACTTACTCAGGGGAGATAATTTGAAGTATAGGCCTTAAAAGTTTACTATATTTCTTGTAAAATCAAAAACAAGTAAACGTATATAAAACTGAAGTTTCTAGTATTATATTATTTTTTAAAAATTATTTGTACGATACAAGATAGTACCGGATACAAATTCAACCACTATCACAAACACATATTAACATTGAAAAATGTACAATGGATTTTGGGTCCCTTACCAATGCCGCAAATCAGGGGCGTAGCGAGGGGGGGGGGGCGGGGGGGGCGGACCGCACCGGGTGACACCATTTAGGGGGGTGACACCAAGGCAAAAAATAGCAAAATATATAGAGAAAAACTCGAGGGGGGGGTGCAAATCGAAAGTTTGAGGGGGGGGGGGTGCAAATCGAAAACTTGAGGGGGGGAGGGGGTACAAATCGAAAGTTTGAGGGGGGGGGTGCAAATCGAAAATTTGAAAGTTTGTCCCTGGGAAGGGTCTCTATGCCTCTGGGGGGGGGGGTGACACCATTAAGTGCCGCACCGGGTGACACCCGCCCTCGCTACGCCACTGCCGCAAATAAGAACCGCGCATCATGAAAGCCCACTTCATATGTAGCGGCTTTTCGTGCTATGGACTTTGTTGTTTTTTTAAAAAGAATTTTGCCGGCGACAGCGTGTGTTTGTTTGTAGGGAAATAGAACTCGGCCTTGACGATGGTTAAAAAATACAACTATTAATAACTGTTTTAAATATGTAAAAAAAATTGTCGACAATTTTTTAACCCCCTTTTTGGTCCCCATCCCCTGCCCCATCCGCCACAGTGCACTTTGGAGGATCGGTCAAACAGTTACGTGTCCTCTTTTTAGCTATCAAAGGGAGGGGGGGGGCTACGAGTCAAAGAAGTCATTCAAAATTTGAAGAGTTGCCTATATTTTACACTGTAGTTTGTGTAATGGATGTTATCTTTTGCGGAAGAGCGTGGTATAGTGACTGTAAAATAAAAATAATCGTACCGCAGCTACAGTGTTTTTCTTTTACAAACCAAATATTAAGGCAAAAATTAAATTAAAAATTAAAAAAAAATAATATTAATTTTGGTCAGCCGTGGGCCCCTAAACGGCCTGCCCCCCCCCCCTTCCCGCCCATTGCGGGGTCTGGCGGGACTGTAGTTCCGCCCCTGTTCATCAGGTAAATGAAGAACTACTGACTAGTGTCTTTAACAAAATGTACAGAACTGGTCAGTTTACAGTTCATAGACGGTTTGTTAATCTATGCATTACATCTTATTGTAAGAGTAAGGGTATGGTGAGGGGTAGGGGGGGAGAGAGAGTTGGGAAGGGAAGGGGACAAGAAAGCGCCGATAAACATCTACATCAATACCCGATTTCAAAGCGTGCCGGCACAGTCAAATTTCAGATGCTTCGTCTTTGAACTTGTCTATATGTCTGGCGGTTGCTCGAGCTATAGTCTGTGCATTTTTCTCAAAGACGTTTGCCGACTATCGTGTTTGTTTGTAACTGTAGAAGAAAGATAACTCGACCTCCACCTAATTTATTTTTTTTTTATTTTTTTAAAAATAATTTAGCCAGGATTTTTGGGCCCCCAATTGGTCTGGGCCCCCCCGCATTGCGGGGTCTGGCGGCACTGTAGTTCCGCCCCTGATGATAAGCCATACTAAGTGATGCTGATAATATATTTATAGTGATGATGAAAATCCATGTTAAGTAATGATGATAATCCTTTGTCAAGTAATGATTATAATCCTTTGTAAAGTATTGATGATGATCCTTCGTCAAGTAATGATGATGATCTATGTCAAGTAATTATAAACTTTGTAGATTATATCAGTGATGATAATAATCTATGTAGATTATCGAAGACAGACATTTGCTTTATGTAATTATGATGATAATCTATGTATAGTGATCATTATAATATATATGTAATGATGATGAAAAATTTTCAGATAATCTATGCGTAGTGATGATGATAATCTATGCGTAGTGATGATGATGATTATCTATGTGTAGTGATGATGATAATCTATGTGTAGTGATGATAATAATCTATGCGTAGTGATGATGATAATCTATGTGTAATGATGATAATAATATATGTGTAATGATGATGATAATCTATGTGTAATGATGATGATAATCTATATGTAATGATGATGATAATCTACGTGTAATGGTGATGATAATCTATGTGTAATGATGATGATAATCTATGTGTAATGATGATGATAATCTATATGTAATGATGATGATAATCTATGTGTAATGATGATGATAATCTATATGTAATGATGATGATAATCTACGTGTAATGGTGATGATAATCTATGTGTAATGATGATGATAATCTATGTAGATCAGTATCAATGACGTGCAGAATGTCAACGATTGTAACGTGTTAACATTTAAAATGCAAGACGTTGTATTGATCACCACGCCACTCACTGCACATTTTATTTCTCCCTGCCATCCCTCCGTTCCACCCCCTCTCCCAACAGACTCCGAATGTGCAGTGTACTCAACGACCAGTTATTCAACTCTCTCTACATTAGTGCATGCAAACCAGAAAAAATAAACTCGCACTTTTTTAATGTACAAGAAATTTATTTAAAAAGTAGTGTTTTTTTTTATCGAACGAATAAAATTAAGTATTTTTAAAAATATGAAACAAATAAAAATGAAATAAAAATTAAAAAGAAGTATTTAAAAACAACGAAAAACAAAATTGTTACAGAACTTGAATGTCAACATAATCTAAGCCATAACAAGTAGTGTCACCACGTACACACGCTACATAGAAAACTCATTAATTTCAAGACGTAGAAGCAGCAATTAACGTCAATCATGACCCGACCCCAAGTTGACTTGTACACCGTCATGCTTCAGTGGATTTGTGAGTACAACGGTTCATCGAATTGGATCATTGGTTCCGTAGACAAACCACGTGACCGATCATTTAATGATCGATTGTCAGCTCTCAACCAATGGGTAAAGTTTTGAAAAAAATTGGACTATAAATTCTCGCCTTGTCTTGTCTGTTCAGCAGTTAAATGGCTAGGTTGAAATGTGTGTCGGTCCAGGCGGCCATTGTAAAAGTTTGTATACTTACAGTGATTTTGTGGTCACCAGCTGATGCAGGTAATTAGACTTACCGTTTTTTTTTTAAATATTGGTAGCCTTTTATCAAATAAAAAAAAATGTTGGGCGTAGGGTCAATAATGTATTTTATCATTAGCTTTAAAATGAAGTGCTAAGTGCTCTTGTAATTTATCAACTAGTTTGTTGTAACAATGTTCATCAAACATAGTGCTCAGAGATTGCGCGTGAGGACTAGAATGTTCCTTAAACAATTAGTGACTCACACGGGGTTTGAGAGAATCGCAAATAAATATGAGAATTATTTCCATAATTAAAATCCCAAATAAAATTTTTTATTGTAAAGAAGTTTTTTCCGACAATGAAATATAATTTTCCCGATCATCATTACCCGTTACACCTGCTGTGTGTAGTCGGACAGTTAAGACAACCCAGAGTCCTGGATCATTATCTCTAGATAACTTTAATTAGTTAACGTATTTGAATTAACTAATCCAGTCAGCACATCATGAGGTCTTTCATCTCCGAAAAATTTTGTGAAGTTTTGGGACAGATCTGTCTTGTTGCCAGAGGCGTAGCTAGGGGGGGGCGGGGGGGGGGGGGGGGGGGGCGGCCGCCCCGGGCGCCGACCCTATGGGGGCGCCAAAAGGGGTGGGAAATTTTTTTTAAAGCTGATTTTATGCTGCAGTTTTGAATTATAAACTGTCTAAGTTAAGAAACGTAATGGCTACACGCATTTACATACTGATTTAACTGTTTTCTATCTTGATTTCTTAATGTAAAACATATACTCTTAAGAAACAGTGACCGGCAAAACCGCTTTGAAGCTTTTCCTAGATGGGGGGGGGGGGGGCGCTTTTTCGAGACTTAAAACGGAAGAATTTACACTAGATTGTTGAGTCGATAAACGTTACCACTATTAAAAGAAACCAATTGTATTAAAACGTATTGTACGATTGTTGAACTGTAAAATACGTTAGTGACTTTTATCAAGATGGTGCAGGGGGGCGCTTTTAGGCTAAATAAAATAGCAAAATTACACAGGATTCTGAGTAAACAACCTTTAGCTCTCAGAAAGAAACGAATTGTACTGTGCATTGTATAATTGTGTAACATTTTTTTTTTTTTAAAGTTAGTTACGTTAAAAACCGCTCTACAAACTTTGTCCAAGATGGTTGTGATGAGTGTGTGTGGGGGGGGGGGGGGGGCGCTTTTTTCGCTAACAAAAATCGCAAGTATTTGTACTGGATTGGTGAGTAGATAACTCTCTTAACACTTAGTAAAGAAACCAAGTGTATTAACGCGTAATGTACAATTTCAATAGCCAGTTTTGTTAAAAAAAAAAGACGCGACTAGTTCTTTGTAAGATTCTTACGATTCTCTCAACTTCAACGTGAGAGATCAGATACTTTTGATCAGTGTTTCTTCCAGACTTTTTTCTCCAGGGGGGCACTTGAAATCTTCGGGGGGAGGGGGGAGGCGGTAAACTTTCTTCGGGGGGGGCGGACACTGTTAAAAGTATATATTTTCTATATATAAATTATGTAAATTTCATTTGGTTCGGGGGGGGGGGGGGGCGTAAAATTTTTTCCGGGGGGCTTCGGCCCCCCGAAAAGATGCCTGGAAGAAACTGTGTGCGAGAAGGCAGGGCAAATCTGCGAAATCCAAGACTACGAGCTGTTAACATCCGTTGGATTCCAGTTTGTTTTCTCTAGCTTATTTTGTCATACCATCAACCAATCAACGAAATACCCATGTCGTATTCCAATGTGAACAATAAATATTTCTGATAACTTCTTCTTGTATGTCACTTGTGTGTCCTTACTCTAACAAACTTCGAATCCAACTATGTACCATATCACAACAGAGATCGTTCAAAACTAGAACATAAAAGGCTGGTCTAAACATATTAGCGTTAGCTACAAACTACCCTCTAACACAGATCAGGCTTATTTTTTTTTACTGACATTACTAATCTTTCGCAAAAAAAGTTAAACGCATCTTAATGGGAATTAAATTGTCGTAAAGTTTTAAGGAATGAAAATCATACAATGTAATTATTAAACCTTGTCCGGACTGTAGCATACACGCTTACACACACGCTTACACACACAAATACACTCTTACCCACACACAAGCTTATATATAAACACACTATCACACACACATAATTATACACACACACACACACACACATATATATATATATATATATATATATATATATATATATATATATATATATATATATATATATATATATATATATATATATATATATATATATATATAAGCGGGGGGGGGGGGCGCCAAATTGAAAGTTCGCCCCGGGCGCCGGGAAGGGTCGCTACGCCTCTGCTTGTTGCGTGAGAGAATGGTCATTCACCTAGGCAGTCAGGTTCAAATACCGGCAGCATCACTTGAGCTATGAACTCGACTTTCCAGAATCTCAACTTACACTTGATCCAAAATGCAGCTGTCCAAAATCTCGATTTACAACTTTTAGTAAAAAAAAGCTTGGCGGACTTCTATTTCCCGGGAGGGGTGGGGGTGGGGGACAGTGTTTGAAGTAGTAAACGTGTTTTGTGTGGGTGTGGGGGTATCGGGCGGTGTCTACCCAGAAGAGATGCCTGAAAGAAACTCTGCCAGAGATCCGGTATGATGGAACGAGGGTTGGTCTAAAGGCCATTAGCCCCGACCAACGCAAAAAGTAATCACTGTCACAACGGCAACACTGGGAAACACAAAAACAATTTACCATAAGAAAGAAACACACCTCATGACGAAGAGTTGACACAAAAGATGAGTCACCACAGCTGACATTTGTAGATACTAGCTCTAAATAGAAACTGTCTAGAATTTTGTTTTTCTAATTTTAAAGTGCTAATTGTTGCCCTAATTTACATTTGTTTGCAGTGCCCAAAGTGACTAGGGTAACACCCCAGTGTGGCAGTAAAAATGGCGGCACTCTCATCTCAACGATCGGTCGCGGTAAGTAGCCTGCACTACAGTGAACTCACCACACTCAAACTTGTTTTAATTTTACAACTTCACCACCCCCCCCCCTCCCAACACACACACAATGACCCTAAAAAAACATTTTGTGTCGAGTTTTTAAAAAATGTGTAAAACCTAAGCGGGTGACACCACGGGGGATAATTTTAACGGGGAATTATTTTAAACTATTCTGATAAAACAAGAACGTTCCCGTTAAATAAAAAATGATTAGTTAAATTATTAGTTAAACAGATATTTACGTAAGTTTGACACCCCCAGTTACTACTGGACAGAGTGTTTCTTCGATCTCGAGTCATAAAGGAATGTTGTATAGACTTGTGCATAGGTCCTACACACAAATTAGGAGATATGTGTTTGTGTATAGGTCTTACACACTTATAACTTGTTCTACTCCTTTGTTCTTAATACTAATCTCTAGGGTAGTATCTGCAACACAAGTAATACGGCAATTTTAAGGTTTCCGGTCTACCTTTCTTTCTTGATTTGCTTCCATAGCCTTAGTTTAATGTTCGAGTTTTCTCTACTAGATGAGTAGCTGTCTCTGGTTAACGAGCCTCATCTGCCCAGGCTCCGAACTTGGGACTTTTGGAGCTGGCAATCATACGAACTCCCTACCTTTACCCTTTTAAACCTCTGTAGATCTGGTTTTGTATCAGAGATTTATCATACATCTGCGTTTGGTACACGACTCTGTATAGCGGGTGTTATATAATACATGTATCGAACATATGTATTTGGTACACGACTCTATACAGCCGATGTTATATAAGAGATGTATCAAACATATATGTTGGTACACGACTCTGTATAGCGGGTCTTGCATGAGAGACGTATCAAGAAAACACCACCCAAATACAAAAGTGACGGAAGTTCTAGAGAAAAAAAAAGTTTCGCGAAATTGTTTTCTTGACGTTGAAAGAACTGAAGGAACCTTGTAAAGAGAACACAATAGCTGCAGCTACAAGGGGTTTAAAAATAATAAAGTATTGCTTTAGCTAAAAGTGGTTTAAAAAGAACCACGCGGTATAGTTTTAGCTAAAACTGGGTTAATGATAAATTAAAAAGCACGGTATAGCTTTAGCTTAAAATTGCTTAATGATAAAAGCCACAGTATAGCTTTATCTAAAAGTGGTTTATTGATAAAATTCACGGTATAGCTCTGCTCAAAGTGGTTTAACAATTAAAAAAAACACGGTATAGCTTTCGCTAAAATTAGTTTTAATAATAACAGCTGTAGCTAAAAGTGGTTTACTGATAAAAACCACTATATAGCTGTAGCCAAAAGTGGTTTAATGATAAAACTACGATATAGCTGTGGCTAAAAGTGGTTAGACCACACCGCGTTGTGGCTGTAACTAATTGTTTCATCTCGAGAGTGAAGTCATGTGCATCCATCCCCGTCTAAAAAACAGACAACTATATACGAGACTCATTTGTATACCATTTGAATTCTATCGAAGGCACGGCCGATCGCACGTTAATGCTCTGTGCCAATTATTGTTGTTCAGTAATGGGGACATATCTTTGTAATGATACAACTTTTGTGCCGAGTTCACAAAATCTTTGAGGCGAAAACATGGGCAAATCGATTCCTTGTGACAGGAACAGCATAACCTACACAACTTACACAACCCACCAACCCAACCACACTATCAGTAAAAAACATGCAGCACCAACATGTTTGAGTATGTGCAAACTGCTGCAGGCTATCCCTTTTGTATTCGTCGAGATGTTTTTTTACAAGCTTTTATTTAACTCGCTTACCCGTTCTTTTATCTGGCGTGCTTTTGTCTGTCTTCATTGATCGAAACTGACGAGCGAAACTTTGACCACTTTTAACCGACCAATTTCTCTTAAACTTGGCACCTGGTCCAAGACCCAATGACAATACAATCTAACATCAAATTTGACTTAATTGGGTACTTATTTTATTTTCAAAGAATCAATACAATTTCCTTAATAAAGGTATTCAATGCGTAATATAGTGACCCACGTTTTTATTTTTAGTTATTAAAATACTAGTCAATTATTACATATTTAAAGAAAATCATTTATTTTCTCCTCTCTGGTACATGATTTTATAAAAGCTTTTGATTAAAAAGTTTTTTATTAGAAAAAAAAAGCTCCAGTTAAATTCTCGGTTGACGTAGGGGGATGCACTACAGGTAGCCCTGATACGACTTTTTGATACTGCAATTCAAAAATCTGGCATTCAGTGACATCATAGGGTTTGTAATACGTAACATTCGTAACATGATCCATTTGAGAATAATAGGCCCTAAATCTAGATCTGTAGAGTTTATTTCCATTACTTTAAAAAGACGTCAGCATTAAAAAAAATGAAATTATACCCTTTTATTATTAAGTTTATAATGAGTTTTTCTTTTAAAATTACGTTTAAAATATTGTTTTTTGACTCAGAAAATACAATTATCTTTTATTACATTGCAGGTTTTTCGAGGAACTATTTCAATTTCGGTACAGGCAACGACAACCTAGGCAGCAAGGTGACGCTCACCTCCGCCATTCAGAGTTATGAGTGTACTCTTCACCCCGACGGCTCCCACGAAACCCAGATCACATGCTATACCACGTGAGTTTGATACCTTCTCTCATTGGCTAGATCTCTCTTACAAACTTGACAGGGGATTGCGATTTAAAAACTCCGACACAATCGAACTATTGATCTTGCATACTCAGTCATGCGTGATTAAGTGATTATTAATTTAAACCGACGTTGCTGAATCACCCCGAAGCGCTTGACATAATAAACGGGTCAGACATACGTAGCTATTGTTTCCACTCTAGTTGTTGAGCAAAGCTCTATTATTAAAAACACAAAACCCTCTATCACGAAACAAACCAATAATAATTGTTTAAAAAGTATATTGTTTCTAGAATTTTGTTTCGTGTGCTGACGTTGCACTGAATTCAAAACAATACAACCATTCCTTTGTTCTAGAGGCTCTAACATAAAAAATATACGTGGCTTCGAATAACTTTAAACAAACTTTACCACACAGACAGGCCTGATGAGTTAAATAAAAATACATAATTATATTCTTACAATCAAGGGGTCAGTCGGGTCGGTGAATACCATGGTTGCTAAACGAAGAGTCCCGAGTTCGAACCCCCGGGCAGACGAGGCTCGATAGATGTCGACAGCAACCCATCAAATAAAGAAAAATACTTAGTCAAATAGCTGCTGCCTTATAGTTTGTTCTAAGTTGGACAAAGGCTATGGAAGCAAACCCAGAAAGAAGAGCAGGCTGAAATCGGAGTCAATGGTTTAAATGGCGTGTAGCATGTTGACACGTAATACTTAATTGTGTTGGGGAAATCATGTCCCGAGTCAATATAAGTGGGGAGGGGGGGGGGAGGCCTGGTAGAAACACTAGTCAATATAAAGGAGTAGGGTTGAATTAAGCATTGATTACAACTCCAAACTGTCCAAGAAGTATGCTGCGATACGAATCAACTTAACCAGAAAGAATTGGTTTAGAAGAAAAACAATGCTGTGGGGTGATAAAAACCCATAGAAAGCTTGAGCCGACGGGTCAACTACTAGAATGTAGTTTAAGGAACTGGAATGCTAGGTTCCAGAGGAAAATTGCAGTCAAACCAGTCCAGTCAAGAATGAACAAAGTAGTTTTATTGTTTTAAGCAAGGTGTGTGTTTGTTCAAGCTATTGCTTCATTAAAGATCAATAAAACACCATTATCAGTGATTGCATCTGAGTCTTGTCGTGACGGCTTGATTTGATAGTGACATTGACAGATGACATGTCATTGTTTACCCACATCCAACACCCGATACATGTGTAAACACGTAGTTCAAATATATATATATATATATATATATATATATATATATATATATATATATATATATATATATATATATATATATATATATATATATATATATATAAATTTATATATATATCAGCACAGGTTTAACGAGCACAATATAGTAGAGTCATACACGTTACTGCCCCGGATCATTGACGAGGAAGGGGCAGATACTGGTGTCGAAATAAGGACAATAGGAGCCGTCTTCAGATAACTAGAGATAAATAGGTCTTCAGCTAACTAGAGATAAATAGCCGTCTTCAGATAACTAGAGATAAATAGCCGTCTTCAGATAACTAGAGATAAATAGGTCTTCAGCTAACTAGAGATAAATAGGTCTTCAGATAATTAGAGATAAATACCCGTCTTCAGATAACTAGAGATAAATAGTTCTTCAGATAACTAGAGATAAATAGGTCTTCAGATAACTAGAGATAAATAACCGTCTTCAGATAACTAGAGATAAATAGCCGTCTTCAGATAACTAGAGATAAATAGGTCTTCAGATAACTAGAGATAAATAGGTCTTCAGATAACTCTAGAGAGAATTGGCTGTTTACATCTAACTAGTGTTTCTTCCAGACTTTTTTCTTCGGGGGGGGGGGGGGGGGTGGCACTTGAAATTTTCGGGGGGGGGGGGGTAAAAAAGTTCGGAGGGGGGGCTTCGCCCCATTCGAAGAGATGCCTGGAAGAAACTCTGCATCTAGAAAGAAATAGTTATCTAGAAAGAACACTGTTAACGAAATAAAAAGACGACAATCTAACTAGCGACGCCGTAGAATACCTGGCATAATCAGAGGATGTCGTGATGATGTTTGATCTAATTAAATAGTTCCTACGAAAGTCCCATATTATTGACGACCCGACTGTAGGGGCGCGTGGGGTGAGGCAGTATTGATATTACCGTATTAATTTCTGCAACCAGTTTGGAGTATTAAAAAAAGTTTGAACAAAGAGCTGGAACGGATAGAATTTTTTATTACTTGAGTTGTTACCCCAACTCGGCTACACCCGTAGGATTAATCTTTAACCTAATCCTTGCCCTCAAAGCGCGAAACTGATTGCGATTAAACACAAACTCGTCACAATACTGCCTTAATTTTACCGGCGGTTTGAAAGAATCAGGCGAAATTTTGAAAAACTTTTTTACAGGACTACTCTCTATTTCTCATACAACGCAGACAAAATACTTCATCCTTTAAAACTATGTCCATTATATAGCGTGTTTATTCACAACACGTTTTATAAAATTATGAGGCAGTTAGTGACTGAGTCGAAGCCTCGTATGTTGCGTTTAGGTTTAAAAGAATACTATTTAAAAAAGATTTCTGTGTAAGTAAGTTGGTTTTTATTTGATCCGCATTACAATACTGAAGTGCTTCTCCATGTCGACACTTTTGGTTTCACACTGACTAGAGTGGTAGGCAGGAGTTTGTCGTGAGGGGGATGGTTCGAATTTATCCCAAATACACACATACGCCCGAGCATACACTCACATTGTTTCCGACATGCAGAATTTCCGAACAAAAGAGCGTAAAAGTAAAATTGTGGTTTTGTAACTGAAAATTTAAAAAAATCGAAAGCTCTCAAAGCGTGTCATCTCTAAAGGCTTTAACATAAAAAAGAAAACTTTTTGTAGTCCTGGTTGTATGTATGTGTGTGTGAGATGCAGAGTTTCTTCCAGGCATCTCTTCGGGGGGGGGGGGGACACGAACGGACCCCCCCCCCCCCGAAGAAAGTCTACCGCCCCCCGAACGAAATGAAAATTATATAGAAAATATATACTTTTAACAGTGAGAAAAGAGTCTGGAGGGGGGGGGGGGTTCTGACGGTATATGACTTAGTCCTCGCTGCTCCTTATGGAACATAGGGCCTCCACCATTTCCTTCCACTTCATCCGATCCCCGCCTATTAATTTTGAAGTCTCCCAAGACATCCCAGTTGGCTTCTGATGGTATATAAGGCAGAAAAATAAAATGAAATCACTGTGTTGACAAAAACAGATCTATATGCAGTTATGGTCCCTACATATGCAGTTATGGTCCCTACATACGCAGTTTTGGTCCCTACATACGCAGTTATGGTCCCTACATACGCAGTTATGGTCCCTACATACAGCAGTTATGGTCCCTACATACGCAGTTATGGTCCCTACATACAGCAGTTATGGTCCCTACATACGCAGTTATGGCCCCTACATACAGCTGTTATGGTCCCTACATATCCAGTTATGATCCCTACATACAGCATTTATGGTCCCTACATATCCAGTTAGGGTCCCTACATATCCAGTTATGGTCCCTACATACAGCAGTTATGGTCCCTACATATCCAGTTATGGTCCCTACATACGCAGTTATGGCCCCTACATACATCAGTTATGGTCCCTACATATCCAGTTATGGTCCCTACATACAGTAGTTATGGTCACTACATACAGAAGTTAAGGTCCCTACTTACAGTAGTTTAGGTCCCTACATACAGTAGTTAAGGTCCCTACATACAGCGGTTAAGGTCCCTACATACAGCAGTTATGTTCCCTACATATCCAGTTATGGCCCCTACATACAGCAGTTATGGTCCCTACATACAGCAGTTATGGTCCCTACATACAGCAGTTATGGTCCCTACATATCCAGTTATGGTCCCTACATACAGCAGTTATGGTCCCTACATACAGCAGTTATGGTCCTTACATACAGCAGTTAAGGTACCTACATACAGTACAATCGTCCTTTATTTTCTCTTGTCTAGGCCTATGCCTGTAGGTGAGTACACCGTCAAGGTGACCGTAGATGGAGAACCAGTCCCAGACAACAGTTACTGCGATGTTGCATCGAACTGTGTGTTTAAGGTTAGAATCTATGTAGGACTAAAGGTCAAAGTTCACATATGAAATTTTAGTTTTTATACCACATCACTAATTCCTCTACCATTTTATGGTCATATTTTATTTTTAATAACTTTTGAGAAATAAAGAAATGAGCAACTGATTTCATGTTTTCAGGTGTCTGATGATTGTACACCAACAATTGATGCCATCACACCGACCTCTGGGATGCCTGGTGAGTGACATGTATCTTTTTTCCTGTGACGTTCTCTCTGATTTTTATCTTTCTTCCTCTGACGTTCATCCCATGGATTCACTGACATTTATCTTTCTTCCTGTGACGTTCTCTCTGATTGTTATCTTTCTTCCTGTGACGTTCTCTCGTGAATTCACTGACATCTATCTTTCTTCCTCTGACGTTCATCCCATGGATTCACTGACATTTATCTTTCTTCCTGTGACGTTCTCTCGTGAATTCACTGACATCTATCTTTCTTCCTTTGACTTTCATCCCATGGATTCACCGATATTTATCCTTTCTTCCTGTGACGTTCTCTCGTGAATTCACTGACATCTATCTTTCTTCCTTTGACTTTCATCACATGGATTCACCGATATTTATCCTTTCTTCCTGTGACGTCATTCCATGGATTCACTGACATTTATCTGTCTTCCTGTGACGTTCTCTCTGATTTCTATCTTTCTTCCTTTGACTTTCATCCCATGGATTCACCGATATTTATCCTTTCTTCCTGTGACGTCATTCCATGGATTCACTGACATTTATCTGTCTTCCTGTGACGTTCTCTCTGATTTCTATCTTTCTTCCTTTGACTTTCATCCCATGGATTCATCGATATTTATCCTTTCTTCCTGTGACGTCATTCCATGGATTCACTGACATTTAGCCTATATTTCTTACTGTGACGTTTTCCAGGGGTATGAAAAAAAATCTAAGCATTCAGTGAAAAAACGACTTCTATCAACGATATAGTCTACGTTGTTTATGATTCAGAATCAAGCATTGCTTCATAATTCATACCCATAAAACCAAATGGGTCAAACCATTTTTTTTTACAATAACGATGATCGGTCTTGATGTCTACAGTTTATTATTATAATCCAAATCGGAATTATTCAGCTTTTTTGAAATCGGCCTTTTTTATGTCGGTCTTTTTAAAAATAATGTTTTACCCCCTTTCTCTAACGTTACAAAATGTAAATACCAAGCGAAAAAGCACGACCCATTTTAGACACCCCCTCCTTTTCCTATTTTTTTTTCGTAAAGGGATATAATCAGGCTAGGATGTTTTTCCAAAATATATTGAGTCCTTTCCCCTTGTTCGAAAATAAATTATCGCTATTGTACACAATTCTTTTTAGTAGAACACATATCACTATTAGATCTATATTTATATCTAGATTTATTAAATAATTTTCATAAAAATTTTTGTAAATAAATGTCAGTTTACACATCACATTTTTACAATACAATCGTGTGATAGTTTTCTTCTTTCTCTCCATCCACCTCTGATCTTAAAAAAAAATCCGACCCCCCCACTTCCGCATGGAGTGTGACTTCTTTATGAATGACTTCTTAGTTACATTTATCTAATTCGAAATGTTTCAATTTAAAATCATACTAATATTAGTACGATGACGTATAGCCTACTCTCCCTGATCTACTTCATTGTTTTTTTTTTAATTGCTCCACCCCCACAGGCGACTTCATCACCATTACAGGGGACCTTATCACATCAAAATATGGTTCCAACGAACCAAACGACGCACAGGAAAAGATACTTAGGTAAACCTGTAGTAAACCAAAACACTCTTTTTTTGTAGTCATGACATTCAGGTAATTTATAATAGTAACACTTCTAATATACTCTACAAAAGGACAACACAATTTCTTTTTTAATGTTGTTAATTTTCACTTGTTCACTATTATTTTAATTTTATTATAAAAATGGTATACTAAGCTAAAGGCTACATATTAATAATTATACATACTACATAATTATAATTTCTTCAAAAAATAATGCCTTTTGATAACTTTTAGAGTGTATTTCGGAGGCCAGAAATGTGAACTTCGTGATGAAGAAAAGGATGTTGTGTAAGAAAGTTTCAATTATCTTTTCAGTTTTTAGCTATGCCCTGTACTTTATTTACATTTATGTAATATTTATGCTCAGTGTTATTTTCAAAAGTTTATACAGAAATGATCATTATACATTAAAAAGTGAGTGTGACCTACTTAGGTCGAGTCATTTTTATTTTGACATTGTATAATTCCTTATATGGAATGATTGTGTAACACCTGGGGTTTTTCCATTGACTATTAAGGTGTTTGAGACATAGAAATTTTCCATTAAAATCTGATTGAATGATTCTGATCAGATGATTATCCCAACCAATGGCGACATGAGTTGAGGATAACCTCCCCTGTCACAGAAGTCTTTAATTGCCCTGCAAACTCGCAACACGAGGCAGTTTTTCTTGACCTAAAAGTCTACGAGGCCGTTTTCCTTAGTCAGGCAGCCGTCCATATTGTCCGGCTATAGACTCTGACCATTTGAACGTGAGAGTACTTAAGACCTGTGTGTGCCTTGCTTTCTTAAGTGATTTAATCTTCTAGTTTAATATTACTTGCCGTTAAGTAATTCCTGGAGCTACAGCCGTGTTGTGTGGCCTGTAGCTGATCTTTAGACAGTGTAGAAATCTGTGATAGTGTTTTTTCCTACATTGTGTAAGTTGGGTCTTTGATATTTTATACATTAAATATTTTATCTAGTTCATCTTTGTGTTTTGCCACATCTGAGTTCGCTGATTAAATGGTCGTATGTAGATTGGATGAGTGTTAAATACAATAGTAGCACTAGCTTCCCTAGACATTAATTTCGAGCCCTAGTGGGACGTTGTGTTAAGTGTTCATCCACTTAGGCCGTAAGGTATTTGCATATGACCCCGAAAAAAGAATCCGGGGACGTTCTCCTTCTATTTAGCTGATAGATAGGTTAACGTTACAAAGTGGGGGCTCGTCCGGGATTTAATCTGTCGTTCCAGTTGTTGGTTATATCAGTTGAATACTAAGGTTAGTTGGATTTAGTTGTTTTTTATATCCAGTAGCGCAGTGTTCTTACAACGCGCGCTCAGGCTAGAGTTATCTAGGTCAAATAAGCAGACGTGTCGTCCTACATTTAGAGGTCAAGTACACGGCCCAACGCTGTGTATTAATTTAAAGGATCTAGGCTTGTTGTGATTTTCAAGTAGTGTTATGGAGTCTTTTTTGGCTAATCCTACTGTTGAAGATGTAGAAAAGTTGAGTAGAAAAGTTTTGGTTAGTGTTGTTAAGGAATTGAAATTGGATTATTCTGTTACGCAGAAGTCAGAGGTGTTGAGAGATAAAATTGTTGTTCATTTCATTAATGAAGGATTATTTGACGAAAGTTTGTTAGCTAGTGTGTTGCTCCGCGAGGAGAAATCTATAGAAGAGAGGGAGCTTCTATTAAAAGAAAAGGAGTTTGAAACTAAAAGTGCTCTAGAGAAGGAGAAAGTTGCTCTAGAGAAACAGGAGTTAGAGGCTAAAATTGCTTTAGATAAGAGGAGGTTGGAATTAGAGTTTGGTCAAGTTAGTGATGTCACTTCTCCGGTAGATCCAAAAAAGTTGTCGGTAGGGCAAGTGATTGCCAAATTTGGGAAATTAGTTCCTAAATTTGATGAAACAGATTTGGTCGTTTTCTTTAACTCGTTTGAGAGTTTAGCGAAGACATGTGAATGGCCCGAAACTTCCATTACTGCTTTATTGAGCTCTGTCCTTACTGGGAAAGCTGCAAAAACATACCAGGCACTCTCTCACGACGTTCAAAATAACTATAGTTTGGTCAAGACTGCCATTTTAAAGGCCTACGCACTGACGCCCGAGGCCTATCGGACAAAATTCCGAACACTCCGCAAGTTACCCACACAATCATATGTGGAATTTCTCTTTGAAAAGGAGAAAATATTCTCAAGGTGGCTACACTCTGAGGAAGTTTCTGAGTTTGAGAAACTCAGGTCACTTATCCTAAGGGAAGAATTCCTATCGTCCCTGCCTGAAGAGATACGACTACACATACTGGATAACAAGATAACTGACATCCAGAAGGCTGCTGAGTCGGCTGACACATATATGTTGGTGCATAAGAAACCACCAGTGTCAGGAAACCGCCTCAACCCCGTGCTTCCCCTTTTTGGCAGCAATCATCCTGTTGGCCAACATTTGAAGGCATCACAGTCCAGAGAGAAACCAAGATCAACTCTCAATCGTCGAGCGGTATGCCAGTTCTGCAAAAGGCCTGGTCACCATGTCAAGGACTGTTACAAACGTCTTCAGAATAACAGAGAGGTGGTGCGTACTTCTGCGCACTATGCTCTATCCCCTCAAGCAGCCAGTTCAACTATGAACTCTAGAATTCAAAAGGACTCTAACCCTAAGTGTCCGCAAGAAGGTAGTCAAGTCTCCACACATTATGTGCAGTCACATTTTGACTGTTCTCGCCACCATCCAGTTTCTGCCGAGTCTACCGATCTCGAGGGATCGAGAAAAGTTGACTTTTCATCTTTTATTGCCGAAGCCATCATTAGCAAACCAGGTGATCCGTTGTCTCAGAAGAATATCACCGTTCTAAGAGACACAGGAGCGTCACAATCACTCCTTTTGAAAAGTTCAATGGACATTACACCAGAGACGAACACCGGAAGGATTTCCATTATTCAGGGAGTGGGGACAAAATCTACTGTCGTCCCTCTACACAAGTTTGCCCTGAAACATCATCTCGTCGAAGGTGAGGTCATTTTAGGTGTGATAGATAGTATTCCTGTCCCAGGAGTACACCTACTTCTAGGGAATGACCTTGCGGGAAGCAAAGTATACCCCTGTACGGTTTCAGACCCTTTGTCAACAGTTCCAGATAATGATTATGAACTGTATCCTGCATGTGCGGTGACAAGAAGCCAGACCAAACAATTGGCTGACACAACGTCTGAACCACATCTACCGTCATCGTCAAGAAATTCGACTCCCAAACTGGAGTCTATGCTTCCAGAAAACACAAGCTTGGGCTTACCCCTGAGAATATCTCAGGAAGACATCATTAAAGCTCAACAAGTCGACGCGGAACTCAAAGCAACGGTCGAAAAATCTCTATCATCTGACGATGGAGAATATTTCTCCGAGAACGGCCTCTTCTTTCGTCGCGCTATACCAGTGATTGCCTCACCAGCCGAACCATGGTTGGGTAAAAACCAGCTGTGGATCCCTCCACCTTATCGGCATGAAATACTTAAGCTGGCACATGACCATCCAATGTCAGCGCACCCAGGTGTCACTAAAACGACGGCGAAGATCAAAGAACTGTTCTTTTGGCCCAAAATGAGAAAAGATGTGTCGCGTTACTGCAGAAGTTGCACGAACTGTCAGTTGGCCGGAAAGCCAAACCAGACAATTCCTAAGGCCCCTTTGAGTCCGATTCCTGTATTAGAAGAACCTTTTTCTAAAATCGTCATGGACTGTGTAGGTCCCTTGCCTAAAACCAAGGCGGGCAACGAGTACCTACTTACCTTTATGTGTTCAAGTACCCGTTTTCCCGAGGCGATTCCCTTACGGAACATTAAGGCAAAGACTGTAGTCAGAGCCATGACCCGGTTCTTCACTACCTTTGGATTACCTAGAATCGTGCAAACAGATCAAGGCAGCAACTTCACCAGTCACCATTTTCAGGAAGCGCTAGCCAAGCTAGGCGTTACCCACATCACCAGCTCAGCCTACCACCCTCAGTCTCAAGGCGTACTTGAGAGGTTCCACCAAACCCTCAAAACCATGCTAAGGACATTCGCTAACAGTAACACCCAATGGGATGAGTCTGTTCCTTGGATTATTTTCGCCGCGAGGGACTGTGTCCAGGACTCTTTAGGCTACTCGCCTTTTCAACTTGTGTTTGGACATTCTGTCCGTGGCCCCCTGAAGCTGATACACGAACGTTGGACAGGTACCAGTGATCATCCAGTGGAAAACTTCGACGATTTTCACGTTCGACTGAAAGCCGTGTGCGAAATGGCTCACAAGAACTTAAGAAAGGCCCAAGTTAGAATGAAAGAACTGTATGATAAGAGTTCTTGTAAACGAACATTCAATCCAGGCGACAAAGTTCTTGTGCTAGTACCTAATCTGAACAATGCGTTATCCTTGAGATATTGTGGACCCTTTACTGTGCATTCAAAATTAAGTGATTTGAACTATGTTGTCAATACGCCCGACAGAAGAAAGAAACAGACAGTGTATCATGTCAACTCACTGAAAAAGTATTATGATAATTGTAACAATCTTCAATCCACAGCTAAAATTACTTTACCTGTATGTTCAAATGTTTCTGATGATGTGATACATGATAAATTGAAACCCCCAAAATTGGTAAATTCTTCCTTTTTAGATAATTTGAATGTCCACCTTATGCATTTGTCCACAGAGGAAAGCCATAGATTGTCTCAGTTATTTGAGACATTTCCCTCTATTTTTGGGGATGTCCCCAAAGAAGCGAAGGTTCCACCTCATGATGTAGACGTTGGTGACGCAAAACCCATTAAACAACACCCCTATAGAGTTAACCCGGAAAAAGCTGCTTTGATAAAAGATGAAATTGATTATATGCTCAAGAATGATATCATTGAGCCCAGTTTCAGCAACTGGAGTTCCCCATGTCTCCTAGTCCCGAAAGACGGTGGATCTTTCAGGTTTGTGACCGACTTTAGGAAGGTGAATGCGCTCACCAAAGCTGATTCCTATCCCTTACCTCGGATAGAGGACGTTATTGATAAAGTTGGTCAGGCTAAGATAATTTCCAAAATTGATTTACTTTCAGGATACTGGCAAATCCCCTTATCTGACCGTGCAAAAGAAATATCTGCTTTTGTAACCCCTAATGGTTTTTATAGATACAAACGCATGCCCTTTGGTATGCGAAATGCTGGTCAAACTTTCCAGAGGGTCATTAACTCTGTCATTGCTGACATAGACCAATGTGAGGCCTACATAGATGATATAGTTGTATTTTCTAATACTTTTGAAGAACATATTGTTCAATTGACTAACCTTTTTAGAAAATTGTCTGAAGTTAATTTTACTGTAAACTTACATAAAAGTGATTTCTGTAAAGCTTCAATTACCTATTTGGGTTACCAAGTGGGAACGAACCAAGTTCGGCCCATTGAAGCTAAAGTAGATGCTATTGTAAAGTTGCCACCTCCCAAAAATTGTAAAGAGATCAAAAAGTTCCTTGGGATGGCTGGTTACTATAGACGGTTCTGTCAAAACTTTTCAGCTATTGCTGAACCTCTTACTGCATTATTGAAAAAGGGTGTTGAGTTTGAATGGTCCAATAAATGTCAAGAAGCTTTTTTAACCATTAAGTCATTTTTATCAAATGCTCCTGTTATGGCTGCACCAAATTTTAGCATGCCCTTTAAACTTGCCATTGATGCTAGCAACTTAGCCATTGGCTCAGTCCTATTTCAAGAAGACAATATGGGAATTGACCATCCCATTGCCTTTTTTTCCAGGAAGTTAAATGAGAACCAAAAGAATTATTCTACTATTGAAAAAGAAGCTTTAGCTTTGGTTTTATCATTACAACATTTTGAAGTCTATGTCTCTTCTTCAACCAATCCAGTCAGAGTGTTTTCTGACCATGATCCCCTGAAATTTACCTCTAAGTTAGGACAGACAAATCAAAGAATATTGAGATGGTGCTTATATTTCCAAAATTTTAATCTGGAAATTTCACACATTAAGGGTAGTGATAATGTTGTGGCTGATTGTTTGTCAAGGATGTAAAATCTTGTTGTACACATTGATCATGTGACATGCTTTGTGGTTCATTAGGACCATAAACAGGTTTTGTTTGAGTGTCACTCATATGAAAATGAGTGGTATGAGTTTTGAATTTTTTTCAAAATTCCAATCCTGTTGAATATTTTGTTTATTTTCAGGTGAACCTTAATTAAAGGTAGTTTTTGATTATATGTAATCTTTTATAATAATATGTCTCACATGACTCAATTGATATTGTAGCTAGTCATTGAAATAAAGGTCTTACCCTGGCGGGTTTACCACTTTTAATATTCTCATGGAAAAATTGTAATACCCTTTTGAGGGATTTTGATGTATAATTACTTTTTGAAGGGTTACTCCCCTTTCACCAATTGTAAAAGTTGGAGTTACTTCCCTTTTATGTTCAGGGATATTTTCATATGGTGTTATGATTTTGATTGCCTACATTTGTAAAACATTTTTGTTATTTCATTGCCAGATTGGTTCCTTATGTATGTTTTTGTGGAACCTATCTGTCACTTCCAAAAAGGGAGGGGATGTGACCTACTTAGGTCGAGTCATTTTTATTTTGACATTGTATAATTCCTTATATGGAATGATTGTGTAACACCTGGGGTTTTTCCATTGACTATTAAGGTGTTTGAGACATAGAAATTTTCCATTAAAATCTGATTGAATGATTCTGATCAGATGATTATCCCAACCAATGGCGACATGAGTTGAGGATAACCTCCCCTGTCACAGAAGTCTTTAATTGCCCTGCAAACTCGCAACACGAGGCAGTTTTTCTTGACCTAAAAGTCTACGAGGCCGTTTTCCTTAGTCAGGCAGCCGTCCATATTGTCCGGCTATAGACTCTGACCATTTGAACGTGAGAGTACTTAAGACCTGTGTGTGCCTTGCTTTCTTAAGTGATTTAATCTTCTAGTTTAATATTACTTGCCGTTAAGTAATTCCTGGAGCTACAGCCGTGTTGTGTGGCCTGTAGCTGATCTTTAGACAGTGTAGAAATCTGTGATAGTGTTTTTTCCTACATTGTGTAAGTTGGGTCTTTGATATTTTATACATTAAATATTTTATCTAGTTCATCTTTGTGTTTTGCCACATCTGAGTTCGCTGATTAAATGGTCGTATGTAGATTGGATGAGTGTTAAATACAATAGTAGCACTAGCTTCCCTAGACATTAATTTCGAGCCCTAGTGGGACGTTGTGTTAAGTGTTCATCCACTTAGGCCGTAAGGTATTTGCATATGACCCCGAAAAAAGAATCCGGGGACGTTCTCCTTCTATTTAGCTGATAGATAGGTTAACGTTACATGAGCTAAAAACTAAACACATTTTTGCTCTTTTAAAATTTAAATTTAAAAAATACTACTGTTCAGATTATGTTCCATTATAATTTATATTGTTCTTAAGGTAAAAAATGTAAATTTATTCTCAGGTATGGCATTTACTTTGATGGCTCCACTGGCTCTATGATGTGTAAAACAGAAGGAACCTACATAGGTAAAAAAAAAAAATAACCAGAATTTTCATAATTGCAAAATTGATAGTAATTGTTTTACAGTTTAAAATACTGTGGTGCCTTTACAAATATTTTATTTAACTATATTTTAAAGGTTTTTGTTTTTATATTTTTTTATATAGGCAACAATAATGTGAGCTTTCTCATCAGCAATGCATATGGCAGGTAAACTATTTATCATACTTTTATTTGGATTCATTGCAATAAAGTAGAGGATTATTATTTCAGGAGTCATAATTATATTATGATGTTTTCATTTTTATTTTTAGATCTATGCCCTCTGATAAAGTTAAATATGTAAGAAGCAATGGAATAGCAATGTACCAGACTTTTACAGGTAAATATTTGTTCCATGAATTTAAAAAAGACTTTTTCATTTACTGTGGTAATTTCAAGCAGAGGAATAAACACAATGGTTACATGATAATATTATTTTTTCATTTTTTTCCATTAGAAATAGCACAGTTGTCACAGAACACAGGTAGCATAAAAGGTGGTACAAGAATTACCATTAGTGGCCAATACTTCGATGAAACAGATGCTCCTGTCAAAGTACAAATAAATGGTTAGAGTTACTTTTTCCTTTTATCAGGAAGATGAAAGTGGACTAGCTTACCCTATAAAATTTTCATTTACATTTATTATATAGCATAACAATAATAAGAAATGTTGATATTTATTGAGAAAATTTTTTATTTAAAGAAATCAAACTGTTTCTATGCTTAGTGCCAATGAAAAAAATTAATAGTTTTTAACTCTGTTAAATATATATTTAGAATACCAAAGGCTTAGCATATCAATTTAATTAAAAAATTCAAATTTTTCTGAACAATAAAATAATACCTTGAAAAAAAACAATCAAGTAAAATCTATGATTTTTTAACTGTAGTTTAAAAATTCATTGAACAGATGATGTCTGCAAAACTGTAAATTCAATAACAAAGAATGAAATTGTTTGTGAAACACCAGCACAAAAAAATGACTCACAACAACACTTTTCAGGTAAAACTGCACGTTTTGTGGGGACCATATGTGTTATCTTCTTTCATTAAATATCTTATATGTTTTATCTTTTTGAAAGAGTCAGGAAACTATCAAATAATCAATGAATTAAAAAAATGTGGAGCCTGAATTGTTAAAATTAGTATTTTAAGATAGTTCTTGGGTTTAAAAAGCAAGAAAATTTTGTCCCTTCATATTTTCTAGGCAATCGTGGCTTTTATGTTTACATAAAGAATGGTACAACAGATGCCAGCAGTATAGACAGGAGCACTGCCAGTGTTGAACATGTGGATCAAAGCAGTTGGTCAGCACAAAACTGGGGCTCACATGCCATTCAAATGGTTGGCTACTTTGTACCAGTGTACAGTGGTACATATAGATTTTGTGTCAAGTCTGCTTCTACTGCAACTGTGTACATGAGCACAGACCGCAACCCAAATAATAAGGTATTTTAAGGATTTATTAAATAAATAATTTTTAAAAAATATAACATAATTATTGTTTTAATTATTATTTCTATAAATTTTATTTAAAGTTTGTCTCAAAAATGTATTTTTGGATTTTTGTATGTTTTTTGTGAAAATAATCATAAACTTTGTAGTGAAGTAATTTTATCATAATTAGGATCAATTTTAAAAGTTTTTTAAAATTTTAAAATTTTATAAATTTAATTTGTTTGCACCTTTGATGTATAAAAAGAACACACGCAGAGATGTAATACATTTATTATTATAAAAAAAAATCTTATTACCTCAATTTATACAAACATACATTTAAATCAAAATGAAATTATTATTATTTAGGTTCAAGTAACCCAAGGTTCTAAAATCACATCTTGTATTGGCAAAGAATCAAATGGATACATTCTTGAAGCTGGAAAACAGTAAGCAGATTTATTAAGTGTATGGTTTTGGACATCTTTCAATTGTTTTTCTAATTCATAATGTTTAGGCCAAATTATGATACTTTTAGTATTTAATTCTAGTTTGCGAAATCCTACTTAAAACAAAAAGTTATTAAATATAATACTTACAATAGATCCAAAGTGATAATCCGGACACAGCAAAAGCAAGTGATTTAAAAAACTATTTGAATGTTGCCATTAACTTCAAGTTTTTAAATTTTAGTTAACATTCATATTTTGGTCTAACTTGTTTCTTTCATCATAGATACTATACAGAAGTACAGTATGGCAGTTCTCTCTCAAACTCCTATGTAAATTTAGTTGCACACTTTATGGACACAACTTTGAGTAAAAGAGAGACAGGCTTTGCTGAGCATGAGGTCCAGGATTTACAGTTCAAATCTGTTGTAACTAATGAAATCCAGGTAAAGACTGATCTGTTTTCTATTATAGAGTAGGGATTCCATTGTTACATTTAATTGTTAATTTTTTAAAACTGAAATTAAAATTAGGAATTATTAATGAATGGAATTAATATAACATTCTTTTTTTTGATAAATTAGCTGAAAAGAAACATTTTAAAATATTTTAAATGTTGGTTTGATTTGTGTATATTCATTTTTTTAGAAAATAGAAATTTCTACATCAGGGACTGCAACTTTAACTCAAGATGTGCAGACCATGACCATTAGTGGAAACGCAGATGCTTTTTTTGCATTGGGTCTTGATGGTGTTTACACAGGTATGAGAGAAGCTTTGAAATAATTTCAAGCTAGAATTTTAAAAATTTGAATGTTTTCATGTTTTTTTTTTAAAAATCTAAAATTATTTATGTTTTACCTTTTCACAAATGTAAATTTTATAAATAGTTTTTGATAACTTCACTAATAGTGCTAAGACTTAAAATAATGTGTTGTATATGAGATTTTAAACCTTATCATTGTTTAAGAAGACTTAAACAATTAAAAGTTCTGGAGACTATTTTAGTTCAACTGTGCATTTAGTTTTCTATTCATGAAACAATGTTTTAATGGCTCCCATAAATGAATTGATAAGCAATGTAACATAATACATTATCTTCTATAAAAAAATGTATTATTTTTATTGAATTAAATGATTGTTAAATGATCTTTAATGAGACTTAAACTTCTTTCAGTACCAATGCAGCTGAGTAAGATTACAGCTGACATTGTAAAGACAGAGCTCAAGAAACTCCCTAGCATTACATTCGATGTACTTGTTGCTTTAAGCCCAGTAGATAGCTCTACACAACTAACTATTACCACCTACTCTTCTAGAGGTAATTCACTTCTTAAAATTGTAAATTACAGGGTAACTCACTTTTTATATTTTGAATTATGATGAATTCTTTGAATTTTAAAATATAAGTTTTTAGCTCAACGTTTTGATTTAGACATATTGGCTTAAAAATATTAATTTTATGATTAGCAGTATACTAAAATAATATCTCATATAGCTAAGCACTATAAAAGTATAATAAAATCATATATACGGTTAAGAAATGAACATTATTATGTATTGATTATGTTTTATCTGGTTCAATTTTAGCTATTTAGAAACAATTTTATAATGTTCTTCAGTATTCTATTACTTACATTCCATTAACATTTGTATTATGTATAGGCCTAACTTAAATTTTTAAATTATAATTTAAAATGAATAATAACTGTGTGAAGTGTGAAATAAAGCTTTAGTTCAAGTCCTATTGTTCCTCCTAACAGTGGCGTAGCCAGGAATTGGTCATGGACGGGGTTGAAATATTTTTCCATATGTACTTTTATATATATATATATATATATATATATATATATATATATATATATATATATATATATATATATATATATATATATATATATATATATATATATATATATATATATATATATATATATATATATATATATATATATATATATATATATATATATATATATATATATATATATATATATATATATATATATATATATATATATATATATATATATATATATATATATATATATATATATATATAGGAGTGTGAGTCCATGGGAGGGGTTATGACCCCACCCCCATGCCTATACCACTGCCTCCTAATGTAGAATAATAATAACCGTAAAATTATGAGACTGCATCATTAGTAAAATAATAATGTGACCACCAGGTGCTATCAGTAACTTTGAGGGCCGTGTAGTCACTGGATCCCCAGACCAGTTAAACTTTACTGTAGAAAGAACTACCATGGGAAAGCCTGACTTAAAAACATTTACCCTTGTGATGGATGGTGTTCCTTCTGATCCCATTAGCGTGTCTGCAACAGCCAATGATGTGAGATGATTTTACTAATCTGTTATTTATATTCTATTAATATGGCAAACTTTGTTTTTCTAACAAACCCCTTTTATTTTAATTGTAAAATATACAATATAAAATACTTTATAAAACAGAGTTTAAGCTTACCATTTTATCTATTTTATCTAAAAGTATTTATAAAATCACCAGGTAAAGACTGCTGTGGAGAAATTATTGAGTGTTAGATGTCACCCATTGCTGAGTGTTGGCTCTGTTGTTGTTGACTATGAAACATCAAAAGACTGGATCCAAGGGAGAGTTTCAGATGATGAGCCCTTCTGTGGAAGATATCTGGTTAAAAATCCTCCCTACATCTACCATAAAGGCTTTGACACTAGTGCTACTGCGTTACCGATTTCTACAACCAGCAACAGATTTGTAAGATTAATATAATTTTATAGTATATATATCTATATATCTAAATCTATATATATATATCTAATATATATATATATATATATATATATATATATATATATATATATATATATATATATATATATATATATATATATATATATATATATATATATATATATATATATATATAGATATATAGATATATTTAAATTGTTCTTAAATCCAAACTTTTATCTTACTTTTTGTTTGCAATAAGAAATTTGAGTTCAATAATTATATTCAACAAACCTATCCTTTAATACACTGTTTTTCTTCATCAGTTGTGCTTTGCTTATAAGGGATTGGTGGACTATGTAATTGTTTATTATGAGTACAAAAACTCAAATAATGACATAATCACAGCCTCAGTGATTTATAAAGTATCAAATGAAACTCCAGATCAGTAAGTATTTATCCACACACAATACTTGTGTATTTAGTTTTTCTCTAGAATTCTATTTTCACAACTCAAGAAATCAAATTTTTTTTACAGATGGAGCTATTCTTGCAAGGACATTTATTCACTAATCAATATTGTTGGCTCAAAAGTCCAGAGAGTTTTGGCTGTAAGGAAGGATTACTCTAAAGATTTGTTGATTGATCAGCTCATGTTTCACAGAGAGGCTATATTGCCAGATGCATTGAAAGGTAACATAAAAAGCTGTAATATATATGTATATATATATATATATATATATATATATATATATATATATATATATATATATATATATATATATATATATATATATATAAAGATTTTTTTGTTGTTGTAAAGTGTTAACAGAGCAGTGATTGTAAAAGACTATATGACACAGATGATTTTAAATTTACTAGACCCTAGTAATAAAATGCTGGATAGTTAATGTGTGCAGTTCTATATAATTGAATTAATTTTGTAATATTACATTTCAGATGGCATTAATCTTTTGCGCATGCCTCAAGCTCAACCTAATGGAGTTTTCTTTAATACTGTCATTGTATCAGGCCAATATCCAGCTTATCTTATTCAGCTCAATCCTCATCATTGTGGTTACAACATTTCTCTCTTCCAAGTTGCATCTTCCACAGTAAGTTATCTCCCATATGTTTTGTATAATTCTTGTAGGCCCTAAATTTTGTGAGTTCTATTTTTTGTGTGTATTTAGTGATATTATTATAAAATCAATTTTTTTTCTTCTAATTTTTGTTTTAGAGTGCTATGAAAATATCCATTAGTAATTCTAAATAAAAATTAATAGTTTTCAATGATAAATATGAAATTAACAGTATTATTAAAACTATGATATTTGAAAACAAAATGCTTATGCCAGCCATACTTTTTAATAAAATGCATACCATTTTCTAAAAAGGTCACCTAAATTTAGTTCTTGCACCATATGTTAATGTTTTTAAAGGCTGCACCACAGAATACATTTTTCAATTAAATTTATGTTATATTTTCTGACAAAAAAATCATGTATTTATTTTTATAACGTTATAGTATGCTGATTCAACATATACTGTTACAAATGTTGGTTCAGTAACAGTCAAGATAACTTCAGTACAAACAGCATCACCTCCCATCGGAGGGAAATACTCTGTAACCTTTAAAGGTGACACCACACCAGGTAAAGTATTTAAACAGTTTTATGACAAGTGTGAAACTATAAGCTACATCTGTAATATTTAGCAATGATGCATTTACAGATAAATGCTCAAAGAATCTGGAGTAATATTTTGTTGTTTGTTTTCTCTATAAAAATATTAAGATACTTAATTAGAAAATCATTAAGACATTAAATAATAATTTTACGTAATTTTAAATATTTAACAATCCAAAACATTTGCCTAAAATTTAGAAAAAACACTTTGTAAAAGTTTTTAAAAAATATTTTTAATTTAATTCAATGTTTGACAGATCCCATACAAGTGCCAGAAGATATTGTAGCAGACAATCTAATCGGAGGTCTTGGTACAATGTCTGTTGGGTTTAGTGATGTACAGGCTTGGGGAACATGCTCAGAGTTCACACTCAGGGTCACAATGTTGTCCCAGACTGGTGACCAACCTTTGTTGGAGGTAAGTGGATATTGATGGATCTTGTAATTTAATTATGGAAAGTGATTGTTTATTGACAGGATAACAAGCAAATGTATCTTTTAATAACTATAAGTTAGCCTGATAAACAATTCATAATATTACAATAAAAACTAATACATTGATGAAAGTTTGATACATTACTAGTCCACCTAAAGTCTTGTAAATTACACACAGAGGGGCCTATCAAAAAACACATACTTTAAATGAAAGTATCAGTATGTTCATGTAGTAATTAAAACATGTAAATGAGTAAACATGAGACTCTAGTAATTGCTAACACTTGAAGACAGCAGATGGAACAAACTCTTTTATAATTCTTTTCAACACTTTGTACAGGTATATCACTTACTTTGGTACCATGTCATTTTCTTACTTTCATATAATAAATCACAGATCAACCAACCCACTCATAGATAAAATTACTTGCTACCCAGACATAGGTGCCTCTTTATATATTATCTACATCACAAATTTCCACTCTAACTTCTTTACATATTCTCTATTTGCTAAAAATAAATTATCAATTTTAAACAAAGAAATAATGTACTGTTACTTTAGGTTGATGGTAGTCAGTTAACAGGCGTTAACGCAACAGTTCAAGTACAACCAGTGCAAGATGGAGGGTTATGGTTTGAGCCTATAATGGGAGACTTACTACGCACATACCACACCTCACCACAAGTGATAGCATTCATCAACAATGTCCCTACAAGATGTAAAGATAGAACTGCTTGCACTTTTAATTGGGACAATGGTATCACTCCATTGATTACTTCTATAGACCCAACATCAGGTTAGTTTTTGTGAATTATTTAAAGCAAAATAAATATTTTAAAAAATTATTTTTTAAAACTATTTTAAAATTTAAAAAAATGTAATATATAATTTTAATTTTTAAAAATCTAAATTAAAACAAATTTCTTGTATCTATGGCAGGTTCTCTTGGTCATGAAGTTGAAATTACGGGTTCAGGATTTGACTCTAGCTCTGTGGACTACAATCAAGTGATGATTGGGAATACAGTATGTAATGTCACAGCTGCTACATCTACAACAATCACATGCACAGTTGGCAATGGCCCTACAGGTGCTGCAGATGTCAAAGTTAATGTTAAAGGCAAGGGGCTGGCTTCAGGATCTGTTCAGTTCCAATACATTACAAGTGTGACCTCTTTGACCCCTAGCAGTGGAAGTGTGGAAGGTAGGATTTTTATGTCATTTAAAATGGTTGTTCAAAAATTGAGTGGTACTTTCAAAAAATTAAGTAAATGTGAATTTTTCTTCTACCTTAACATATTTTTTCCTAAAGGTGGCTAAATACTCACCATATTTTTTCCCTAAAGGTGACACAATACTCACCATACTTTTTCCCTAAAGGTGACACAATACTCACCATATTTTTTCCCTAAAGGTGACACAATACTCACCATATTTTTCCCTAAAGGTGACACAATACTCACCATTATTTCTTCCTGAAGGTGGCACAATACTCACCATATTTTTTCCCTAAAGGTGACACAATACTCACCATATTTTTTCCCTAAAGGTGACACAATACTCACCATATTTTTTCCCTAAAGGTGACACAATACTCACCATTATTTCTTCCTGAAGGTGGCACAATACTCACCATATTTTTTTCTAAAGGTGAAACAATACTCACCATATTTTTTCCCTAAAGGTGACACAATACTCACCATATTTTTTTCTAAAGGTGAAACAATACTCACTATATTTTTTTCCCTAAAGGTGACACAATACTCACCATTATTTCTTCCTGAAGGTGGCACAATACTCACCATATTTTTTCCCTAAAGGTGACACAATACTCACCATATTTTTTCCCTAAAGGTGACACAATACTCACCATTATTTCTTCCTAAAGGTGACACAATACTCACCATTATTTGTTTCTAAAGGTGGCACAATACTCACCATATCTGGATACGGCTTCACGTCTGATGCTGAGGTGACTGTTGTGGGGAAGACATGTCAGATAGTAACAATCAGTGAATCCATGATCACATGCAGAACTCCTAGAGCTGTAAGAAGGGATTTGTGTACATATTCATATTGTTACAATAGTTTTGTTTAAAAATTGTTTTTTTTTAAATTTTAAATAACGTTGATTCATATATTTAAATTCCTTTAAATATTTTATCAGGAAAGATACGACAGTATACAAAATGCAGAGGTTAATGTAACACAATTTGGCAGCTCTTTGATTGCTGGTAGCTTCCAATATAACCCAAGTTTGGACTACACTCCAGTCATTTCATCAGTTTCACAATACACCAGCAGTATTTGGGGTTGGTTTCAAACTGTTAATATAATCACATATATACTTTAGTTCCCATAAAAAATGCAAATGAAAAATGTGTAATTTTACATGTTGTTATGGTTTTAAAAAATATTTCCATGCACTTTTTGTATGCAATTAACCATTAAGCACATTTCTTTTGTACATTTCCTGGGTACCTTTTATTTTGAAGAAGGAAATGTCATATTTTTATTTTTTCATCTCAGGTGGTGGCATAATCACAATTGAAGGTGATGGATTTGGTGAAGTAGAGCAACCTGTTCTTCTTGGGGGTGTGAAGTTGGTTGTAAGAACCTATGAAAATCAAAATATTCTTGCTATACTTCCACCTTTGCCAGATGGTTCTTATCAGATAATTATAGATGTCAAGGACAAAGGATATGCTGATCTAAGGTGTGTGATAAACTTAAAATAAATATTTTTGATTATGTTAAAACCTCAAAACAATTTTTTGTAGTTATAAAAAGAAACCTAAAATTTATTTTTAAATAACTCTTTTTCTTTAATTATTTTTCTAACAGGACACATCATATTATTTTTTAATGTAGCCTATATAATAAAATGTCATAACTATTGGTTTCTTGTTACAAAAACAAATCTATAAAAAGAGAGTTTTTTAAAAAAATGTAATATAAATTTCCTTTATCTATTGCTATTTTGTCTAACAGGACACACAATATTTCTGATATTGTGTACACCTTTAAAGTAACAGGGATGACTCCTACATTTGGATCACTTTATGGAGGCACAGATCTTACCATAACTGGTGTTGGCTTCAGCACCAACAGCTCTGCTATGGATGTTTCTATTGGGCCTCATGATTGTAACATTGCCAATTTATCTGAGACACAAATAGTTTGCAGAATTGCTGATACAGGAGTTCATCATGACATTTCAGCAACAGGAATCCACAAAGGTATATAAACTAAAAATTCAAGTACACAATCAGGTATAATATCAGTATACAGAGAATAACAGGTAGTATGAATCTAACACTATGGATAGGTTATTTTTATAATTAAAAAGCAGATTTATAATCTTATGGAGTTTCAATTTACAATTTTACTTTTAAAATGTAAAACAGTGTATGGTTATGGCTACGCATGGGATAAAGATCCATACACCATAAATGTTGGAGACTATGTCACATGGCATTGGGAAACACCTCAGTATATTTCTGACATTGGCTATGGTGTTCACCAGACTGAAACACCTTCTGATATAAGCAACAAACCTGGAGGATTTAGTTCCGGCGAAAAAAATAGAATAGGTAGGATCAAATTTTCATCTTTAATTTTAAATAGTTTTGAAAAACTAAATTTAGTGTATATTTTAAAAAGTGTAAACAGATGTAAGATAATACATTAATTTTTCATACAAATCTTTTAAAAAATTAATATTTTTCAAGTACTTGTACACATACGAGACACATTGTAAAAATACTATTGATTTAAGAAGTAAAGTTTTAACATAGAGACAAATATTGTTTCCTAGGAACTTTTACTCATCGCTTTACAACTCCTGGTGTCTACTACTACTGGTCTGGTTTCATGGACTCGGAAGGCTCAATCTACTTTAGAGGAACAATCAAAGTTGAAGCTTTGCAATCATCCACCATGTCATTGTCAGTCAAGTTTCTTGGATACGAGGCTGTTTATGACACTTGTAAGTTAAAGCGGCCTGAAAAAAAGAATATTTCCATTTGATAATTCAAAGTAATAATTGAAGACTTTAATGTATTAATATAAAATTAATATAATATTTTCTCAGCTACTCCAGTAACTGCAGAAGAAACTGAATGTCCATCTTCATCCAACAAACTGCCTGACTGTACTGAAAACTTACCCCTTGTAATGAATGACAAATTTTACTTCCAATTCTTGAAGTGTTATTCTCCATACATAAACTCCATTAGTCAAAACAATGGAACCTTCACTGATAACATAACACTCACTGGTGATGGATTTGGCACAGAAGTAAGTTAAGAATAATTTCAATATCCATATTAGTAGCAATTATGATAGGAATATTAAAAAATCTTGATTTAATAGAATATTTTTTTCTTATGTAGAAGTATTTTGTATTTTTAGTTTTGATACAGAATGAAATATTTTTGTGATGGTGTCCATTTTGATGATGCTAAAAATTTTTTAGAGAAACAAAACATTTCATTTTTAAAACAGAACTGTCAAAATGAGGTGAAATTTGCTGACTCATCTTGTGAGATACTCAACAGTGCTACAAACACCATAGAACTCCGCATGTCTAAGAATGCTAAGCCACCTATTGGAGGTTAGTTTCATTTCAAACTTAAAAATTAAATTTTACTACAAATTTTTATCTTGAAATGTATTTATTTTTAAGATATATCCTTATTGATCATACATGGTAGATGTTGAAGGCAATATTAAAAAAATGTAGTTTGTGTCAAATTATAAGTAAAATATTTACACTAAAACAAATATTATTGAGTAAAAAGTATTTTGAATAATCAATTTTTTTCAAGTGATGCATGAGTTTACAACAAGAGTGGGAAATCTAGGCTACGCCCTTGTGACCATTGCTGATGTAAACAGCCAGAGATTCGGTCTCTTACCTCAAGTAGATAGCATTAGTCCTGCTGAAGGTGATGTCATATTTTAATTTTGTGTTGTAGTTTTCATCATTTTACTATTTGTAGGTACATCTCTTTTAATAAACACTGCAAGTTTTAAATTGTAACAGTTTACTGCTTTGTTGCAGGTTCCAAAGTTGGTGGCACAAAAATAACAATTTCAGGTGCTGGCTTTGTAGGGAACATAGCTACAGTTTCTGTAGAACTGGATGTAAGTATTTATCAATTCACATTATAAAATAAGTTCATTTAGAAATTGATGCAAGTATTTATCAACTCATCTAATTGGAATAAGTTTATTTTATTTTTTAGAGTGAATAATATTTGTTTCAAAATATTTTAATGTATTAAATAGACATCTGTCTGTGCACGAGATATGTTTTTCCTTAAATGTTAGTTTGTTTGTGTATTTACCAAATTAACTAAATTCATTTTGTTTTCTTATTGAGATATTTTTTAAAAAGTTTAATTACAATTAAATTATCCTTGTTTACTTAAATGTTGCATATTTTAAAAAACCAACTAGATTCAACTAGTCTTTAAATTTTTCAGTCCCTGGAATGCATCATAAAATCAGTAACATACACAGAGATAGTTTGTGTGACCAGCTGTGGTTCTGCTGCTCCCTCCAGTTGCCATGAAGGCGATGTTAACGCTGTTGTTAAAGTTGCTGTGGGAAGTGTTCATGTACCTGCCATCTGTGAAGGCACAAACTGCAAGTTTACTTTTTCGGATCTTAAAACAGCAACTGTTACAGACATATCTCCAAACACAGTGTCACAGGGTAATTATTTTGTTTTAGTAATTAAAAAAATATATTAACATATTTAAAACATTTTCCTTTCAAATTTAGATAAACCGTATTCCTGTTTTTTTTTTAAATTTTATTTTAAATAAAAAATTTCTCTTCCCTGCTACCCTTTCTTTTTGTTTTCTTGCTCTCTGTTTATAGTTTATAGAAGAGCCCACATACATTTTAAAATTATTATTGACTAATCTCCCTGTCTTATATCCTAGCCTCCACACAATTGACTTATCTCCCTGTCTTATATCCTAGCCTCCACACAATTGACTTATCGCCTGTCTTATATCCTAGCCTCCACACAATTGACTTATCTCCCTGTCTTATATCCTAGCCTCCACACAATTGACTTATCTCCCTGTCTTATATCCTAGCCTCCACACAATTGACTTATTGCCTGTCTTATATCCTAGTCTCCACACAATTGACTTATCTCCCTGTCTTATATCCTAGCCTCCACACAATTGACTTATCTCCCTGTCTTATATCCTAGTCTCCACACAATTGACTTATCTCCCTGTCTTATATCCTAGCCTCCACACAATTGACTTATCTCCCTGTCTTATATCCTAGCCTCCACACAATTGACTTATCTCCCTGTCTTATATCCTAGCCTCCACACAATTGACTTATCTCCCTGTCTTATATCCTAGCCTCCACACAATTGACTTATTGCCTGTCTTATATCCTAGTCTCCACACAATTGACTTATCTCCCTGTCTTATATCCTAGCCTCCACACAATTGACTTATCTCCCTGTCTTATATCCTAGCCTCCACACAATTGACTTATCTCCCTGTCTTATATCCTAGCCTCCACACAATTGACTTATCTCCCTGTCTTATATCCTAGCCTCCACACAATTGACTTATCTCCCTGTCTTATATCCTAGCCTCCACACAATTGACTTATCTCCCTGTCTTATATCCTAGCCTCCACACAATTGACTTATCTCCCTGTCTTATATCCTAGCCTCCACACAATTGACTTATCTCCCTGTCTTATATCCTAGCCTCCACACAATTGACTTATCTCCCTGTCTTATATCCTAGCCTCCACACAATTGACTTATCTCCCTGTCTTATATCCTAGCCTCCACACAATTGACTTATCTCCCTGTCTTATATCCTAGCCTCCACACAATTGACTTATCTCCCTGTCTTATATCCTAGCCTCCACACAATTGACTTATCTCCCTGTCTTATATCCTAGCCTCCACACAACTAACCATCACTGGCACCAAGTTTGGTACTGCAGCTGAAAATGTCCAAGTTAAAATTGGTAATGAAAGCTGCACTGTTGATGGTGATGTGTCAGACACTGAGTTCAAGTGCACGGTTGGGAGATTGCCAGTTGGAGAAAATTTTGTCTATGTCTCTATAGCAGAGGCTGGTTTGGCTGAAACATCTGTGAAAATTACCAGTGAAAAAGTGGCGACTATTTCTGAGCCAGCCAAAAGTAGCACAAACGGTGGTGCCCTACTTGTTATTCAGGGCAATGGATTTGTTAAAGGCAATACTGAAGTCAACATTGGTGGAAGCTCAAAGTGTTTAATTGTAGATGTGGATTTTAGTGGAGTAAGTTACATTAAATTATTAATATTTTCATAAATCACATTCAAGTTGAATAATTTATATTTGCAAAAGAAAATTGTAATAAATTAATTTAGATTTTTTTTTAAACTCATATTTTGTGTATCTGCTTCCACAGGTCACATGTACACTGCCTGCTCATGCATCTGGGACAGCAACAGTGACTGTCATTTCAAGAGGGATCACCTACGATGCTTTAAGTTTAGAGTACAGTGATGATGCAACTCCACAAGTAACCAGCGTAAGCCCAACCAGTGGAACAAGTGGAGAAGCTATCATTATCACAGGAAATAAACTAAAATCCCCTGCAGGCTTGACTCCTACTGTTAAAGTAAGAATTTATCCTAAGTTTTTTATTTTTTTTATTTTATTTTCTGAGTAGTTAAATGCCCAGAATTGATTATTAAAAGTGTATGATAAAAAATTTAAATTGTAACAATTTTTTTTAAAAGATTGGTGGAGCTGAATGCAGTGTTACAGAATCCGGGGAAACTTCCATTAAATGTACAGCTGGGGATCAGATGACCGGTCAGTTTGATGTTGAGGTTTTAGTTGCAGGGTTGGGATTGTCCAATACTGATGTCCAATTTACATATAGTATAGGACAATTTGAAATCAACCCAACTCAAGGTCAGTCTCCCGCTTTACATATTTTTAAGCTGCAATATTCTATTTTAAAAACTTCTATTGATTCAAGTGATTGAAATGAGCTAATAATTTGTATGAACTATTTCAAAGGCAGCACCAATGGAGGACAAGTAGTAACACTGACTGGGTCTGGATTTCTTAAAGGAAAAACAACTGTCACCATGTGTGGAGCTGTGTGTCAAGAATTAAATGTTACCACATCTCAGTATACTTGTAGAACAACTGGTCATGCAGGTATGTAATGGTTGGTGTGTCAAGAAATAAATGTTACCACATCTCAGTATACTTGTAGAACAACTGGTCATGCAGGTATGTAATGGTTGGTGTGTCAAGAATTAAATGTTACCACATCTCAGTATACTTGTAGAACAACTGGTAATGCAGGTATGTAATGGTTGGTGTGTCAAGAATTAAATGTCACAGAATCTCAGTATACTTGTAGATCAACTGGTCATGCAGGTGTGTAGTGGTTGGTGTGTCAAGAATTAAATGTTACCACATCTCAGTATACTTGTAGAACAACTGCTCATGCAGGTATGTAATGGTTGGTGTGTCAAGAAATAATTGTTACCATGTCTCAGTATACTTGTAGAACAACTGCTCATGCAGGTATGTAATGGTTGGTGTGTCAAGAAATAATTGTTACCATGTCTCAGTATACTTGCAGGTATGTAAAGAGGGTGTGAGGGCTTTTAATTTGCATATTTTTTTACAACTATTATTAATTTTAACAAACATAAAACTATTTCATAAAATAAACAACTTTTTATAGCATATCTCTAGTAATATTTTTCTGTTACTTAAATGTATATTTCTATTCTTGATTTAGCTGGGGCGTGTGATGTTGTAGCTGTAGTGAACAATCTTTCTGAAACAAAAACATCTGCTTACACATACGATTCTACTTTGGACTCAAGTATAACTTCAGTTAATCCAGTCCGAGGTGGAACAGGGGGAGGAACTCTGTTAACAATATCAGGCACAAACTTTGGGTAAGTTAAAAAAGGCTTTTCAAATCTTTTAGAGTTCTCTACTGATTTGATTACATAGCTTATTAAAAAGCATACCTTAATATTATACTCCAATTTTTAACAGAGAATCTGTTAGTGACATTCATGTTGAGATAGCTGGTGTTGTGTGTGATGTCAAAACAGTGAGCAACACACAAATTACTTGTGAGACTGGAGCTGCTTTTTCAGTCATTGCTCAGGTTGAAGTTCAGCGTAATGGCAACGGATTGGCTAAACAGGTTGATTTCACTTTTATATCTCAATTTCTTCTCAATTTAAATATTTTATATTGCATCAATCATTTTTACTTGAACAGAAAATTATCTAATGATAGATGTTTTAAAATTATGTGTTGACCAATTAAACATATCTAAAAATATAATTTTTAAAGAAATGTTTTTACAGCTGAATGCCACGTATCAATACATTGATGTTTGGTCAAGTCCATACACTTGGGGAAATGCACCCCCTCCAGGTGATGGAGAGTTTGTCATCATACCAGCTGGACAAACTATTCTGCTAGATGAAAACACTGGTGTTTTAAAAATGTTGCTAATTCAAGGTAAGAGAATATTCATTTCATTTTACAAAGAAAATGTTTACAATAATCTGTATGTGAATTTTAAAAGATATAATCTTATAACTTGCAATTGTAACATAAATATGTTACAACAAAACCTCAATTAATATTTTATATTTAAAACTTTACAAAGTACACTTTTTTCTCACACAACTATCTGTTTTATTTGAAGGTGGCAAGCTGATCTTTGATGAAAAGTCAGTAGAGTTGAAAGCAGAAAATATTCTAATCACAGATGGTGGACTTTTACAGGTAATTTCTGTATATATATATATATATATATATATATATATATATATATATATATATATATATATATATATATATATATATATATATATATATATATATATATATATATATATATATATATATATATATATATATATATAAAATTATTTAACAGTAATCGATTATCTAATGGCTTAAAAGAATTTATGTCATATCAAAAACTATGTTGTTCCCAAACATGTAAATGTTATTTTTGTATCTTGAATCTGACTTTATGTTGCCTTACAGTAGTAAAACTTTGTAATTCAAATTTGGTCATCCTCAATCCAAAGTTATTGTACTAAACAAAAACTTAGAAGTACCATTAGTAGTTAACATATGTAACTCAACTTCTATTTTTAATCTATTTTGTCTTAAAGGTTGGCTCAGCTGATAAACCTTTCCCTAAGGAGCACAAAGCTATTATAACAATGTATGGTCATCTGCGATCTAAAGAATTACCAGTTTACGGAGCTAAAACCCTGGCAGTGAGAGAAGGAACTCTGAACTTGTATGGTAATTATGAAAAAGGCTACACAAATAATTTATGATATACATCTAAAAAAATAAATATTAAATGACTGTATGGTAATCATGAAAAGGCTATGCAAAAAATGCATGATATACTTCTGTAAAATAATTGTTAAATGACTAAAACATTTTAGATTTTTAAAATTTCACTGTGTTTCTTTATAAACAGGAAATCCCGTGACTGTAGTATGGACCAGGCTTGCTAGTACAGCTGAAGCTGGTACAAAAGTTTTGACACTACAGCATGAAGTAGACTGGAAGGCTGGGGATGAGATTGTCATTGCAACAACAGGAGATAGACGTAGTCAGAAAGAATCAGAGGTAATTATAAAATAATACTTTTCCATAGGCACTTTAGTTTAGTAATTTGTTTGTAATTAATTGAGGTAGGCCTATAAACTATTGTAATTTTAACCAAAATAAAAATAATTAAAGAAAAAAGTAAACTTCTTCAACAAGGACAGACAAAGTTGTTCAAATCTTTATTTTAATTTAGATCCACTTACTTAATTAGTTTTAAGTTTAATCTAGCTCTCAAGTTCAATTGACTATAGAGTATTGACCATTGACTATACATTATTACATTTGTCTTCCTATTGAGTTAAAGTAATATATCAAAATAACAATATATGTTCTAATAAAAACAGGTTCGAGTAATCGAGTCTGTTAGTGGAAATCAGGTGACTTTGACAGTAGCTCTCACTTACAAACATCTTGGAATTGAAGGCACATTTGATGGTCAAGTTGTAGAATTCAGGGCTGAAGTTGGTCTACTAACCAGAAACATTGTAGTTAGAGGAGACAGAAATACAGACTTTGATTATACAATTCCAGCTTGTCCTAATGGTTTTGACACAGGTAATGCTTTAAATCTACCTTGACTGGAGGTGGTAATAAAAACTAAGTTCAAGTTAACTATGGTGAATTTTAAAAATATTTGCTTTATGTAATCAGTTAGCTATTGTTTATTTTAAGGCAAAAAAATATAATTTTTTAACACAAACAAATGTTGATTGGGCTTAGAGTCATTGAGAATAGACAAATCATTATATTTTTGCTCTGTGTAATGCAAATATAATTATTAAAAATATTAATGTAAATCCTATTTTTATTATAGGGGAATTTGCAACTCAGACTTGTTTCCAAGGACGTTTTGGTGAAGAAATTGGTTCAGATCAGTTTGGTGCTCAGATCATGGTCCATCAAATGGAGAAAGATACCCAGGTTTTTATATAGAAAATAAAGAAACTATAAAAATCACTTAATTTTGCATTCACCCAAACCATATTTTTCAGAAGTAGGTTACAAATATAACTATAAAATTAAAATGTATACATATATTTTAAATTAATTTATTTGTATAATTTCAAATGTACTATACACATATTTTCTTTTCAGTTGAAATAATGACATTTATAGTACTTACGATATTTATAAAAATTTATTTATCTGTACATGCACAAAATCCGTTTGCCTTTCCAGGTTGCTCAAGCGCACATTCAGTATACAGAATTAACTTACTCTGGTCAAGCTTTTAGACTTGGACGTTACGCTATCCACTTTCATCGCAATGGCAACATGGACAAGTCTTTTGTTAGAGGATGCAGTATTCACACTAGTTTCAACAGAGCTGTTAACATTCATGGATCTCACAACATTTTGGTTTGTTTTTAATTTATATTTTCAACCCTTATGGTTTTTATTTAAATGTGAAATTTTAAACTTTCTTAGAACTTTCTTGTTGACAACAACTTTTATTTAACAGTGTCTATGACATTTTATTTTGACATATTTTGAATTAAGAACAACTATCTAGAGATTTTAAATTTGATTGAAATGAAATTAATTAACAAAATATTTCTTTTTGTTTTTCCAGGTAGAAAATAATGTCATATATGACATAAGGGGTGGAGCATTCTTCCTCGAGGATGGCGATGAGACTGGCAACATATTTCAGTACAATCTTGCAATTTTTGTACGTTCTTCCACTTCTCTCAGAAATGATGATATAACTCCTGCTGCTTTTTGGGCAACCAATCCAAACAATACTATCAGGTAAACTCAATTTTGTTTTAAAATTACAAAAATTAATCCAATTAATTATAACCCAACTAATTTCTAACACAGCTTGAGGTATATGTTTACAGCTAGGCTCATTCAATTGAATGTAACAATAAAAAGTACTAGAATAAATGAACAACATCAAATTAAAAATTGTCAATATATTCAATAAACTTAAAATACAATTTTATTATAACTGAACAAGAATAATAATTTCCACTTAGAATTCTAATACCATTATAGAAACATTTTTATAGGAATACATATGCATATTCAAGTGAACACACCACAAGAAACACACCAACCCATCAATAGAATGCCTTCAATATCCACTATTGAAGTAGTTATCTTTATTAAATTTATTTTAATAATTTTTATTTATTTGATCTTCTTTCTGTTATTTTAAAACTATTTTGGTTAGAATTCACCAAAGTGTGGAAATAAACATATGTAATGGGATCTAGAAGATTCTAAGCTTCAGTTTCAGCCTAACATTTTAACTCATTAGCAAAAATATGATTACATTATCCATTATCAATCTCACTCTTAATCATTACTTGCTGTCTAGATTTGGACAACAAAATGTACTTTTGCATCTCCCATTGAAAATATATGTTACCAAAATGGAAATCTCACAATATTATACCGAAATGTGTAAAAGCTTTTCAATGTCCAATTTCAGACACAATGCCGTGGCAGGTGGAACACATTTTGGAACTTGGTATCGCATGCATTTCAATCCTGATGGTCCTGGATTTGATCCAAATATATGCCCACAGTCTACACCTTTAGCAGAATACAGAAACAATACAGCCCATTCACTTGGATGGTTTGGGCTTTGGATTTTTGAGACCTACGTGCCCAGAGAGGATGCTAGCTGCAGCTCCTCTGCTCATAAAGTTAGACTTTATTCTTAGAAAATTAAGAAATAATTCATTTATTTTAGTTAATTAAAATACGACTTCATGTTCTAAACTAATCAATATTTATGAATTTTTAAATTTAAATTTTAATCTATTCTTAAAACTAGTTTCACACTTTTTAATAAATTTAATTTATTTTAAAAGTTTAATTTAAAAAAAACAATTCTGTTTCTTTCAGGTTGCAAAATTTTACAATTTAACAGCTTGGAACTGTGATAAAGGAGCTGAGTCAGTTAACAGTGGAGCTGTCCAGTTTCACAACTTTGTGCTGGTAAACAATGAAAATGCTGGATTTGAAGGCAAACTAATTATAAAATCCCCTCCTCAGTATGATCCAGAAAATGGTCCAGGAATTTTTGATACTACAATAGTTGCTCATTATAATGACAATCTGGAAGGGGGCATAACAAATGGGGGTATTGTAATACCTTATCAAAGTGGACTGTTAATTCAAGGAGTGAAGTTTCATAATTTTGACCAGGTTAGTAGTAAGAGTAGCTCATTTAAATAAACATATAAATAAACAGCAATGATCTTACATACAAAATAAAACATGTATTGATATAGAATAATGATCTTATATACATAATAAAACGTATTGATATAGAAAATGACATTATATACAGAATAAAACATATATTGATATAGAACAATGACATTATATGCAAAATAAAATGTATTAATTGCTAAAATCATTTAAAATTATGTCTGTAGCCTGGTAGAGCAGCATTTAGGTGGACACGTATTGCTGGGGTCTGTATGGAGTTCTGTGGAGGATTTACTACAGAAACTAATGATCTCAAGTTTTTTAACTCCCCCTACAAAGTATGTCAAACTTTTGTTATGCTTCATCTATTAGACAATAATTAATACAGTAGTAATCTAATTAAAATTTTAATTCTTTCAATAACCTTTTTCAACAGGTAAGATATGACTGGGAATCAGAAGGTGTTCTTCACGATCAAGATGGTTCACTAACAGGATCTGCAGGCTTTAGCGTAGTACCATACACACCATCTTTGGACAACACAAAATGTGTAAACAATACAGAGATGTCTGTCAATCTGCCTGGTTGTGTTTGTTCAAATGAGATTAAATTTATCAGGTGTGTATCAACAACAGTATCAACATTTTATTTTTACTTCTTAATATTTTATAGTCAAAACCATGATTTTAGATTTTAGACAAAAAATTATTTTCAATTCATACAGATATAATAACAATTTAAAAGATTATCAAAAATGTTTTTAAACCGTGTTTTCCATTGTCTTCTTTACACAGGTTTTCATTCAATAATATAGTTCCCTCATCACTAAATGGAAAAAATGCCTTGTTTACATCAGAATTTGGTACTAGCAAATCTCCATTTGCCCCTAAGCGTATCACACATCCTCATGGCTGGGCAATGGTTCTGATGGCAAATCATTACTACCAATTTTCTTTCCAAGATGCAGGACAGATGAGCAACATAAGCTATGATAGTGTTTTTTACCATTTTGATGTAAGCTGTAAATTAGAAATTTCAATGTTTCATTTATTTTAAAAATACCAAAATGTATTCAAAATACTTAACAAGTTGTCAGAAATTTAACAAAAAAAAAGGGAGAAATCTATAATGAATTTATATTTGCATTTTATTTTTTATAAATAAAAAAATAAATAATTTTTTATACCTTTAGGAGTGTCTATGGAAATTATGTCACATTAAATTTTTATATTATAAAGTAGTTAAAAATATGAAAGCTACTTGTATAGATTTTTTAGAAACTTGTTAGTAATACAAAAGCAATCACAGTTTGAATCTAGCTAAAAATAAACTTTTTTCCTTTAGGCGGGAGATTTCATTGCATTCACCCAGCATTCTGCTCAGAAACCAGACATTTTTATGCTAGATGGAAGTACAAAGATCAACATGTCAACTTCCATGTTGTCTGGCTCAGATGTGAGCCATGGACAATGGTTCTACAATGATGATGACAGCACTATCACTTATGCAGGTATTTGCTGGTTTAAGTTTGTTTACTCATTATTGATAGATTTTACGTATGCAGGTATTTGCTGGTTTAAGTTTGTTTACTCATTATTGATAGATTTTACGTATGCAGGTATTTGCTGGTTTAAGTTTGTTTACTCATTATTGATAGATTTTATTTATGTTTTGGCACTGAATAGAGCAGATTTTAGTACCACTAGTATCAATGGTGAACAAATTATCTTTTAGCCTTAAATACATTTGACTTAAATGTACCAGTTACAGATTTTTACTGTTGACATTTGTTTTTTATTATTTAAAAAAATGTTTTGTTGTGATATTTTACAATTTTTAGCGCAATTTCCATTCTGGAGAATTGCGTTTATTAACTCGTCATTTCTGGGAATGGATGGATGAATGAATGAATGGATGGATGGATGTGTGTCCGCAGCTTTAAGTCGTCTTTAAGTCATATCTCCTCCTCAATGAAGCAATATCGAGGACTAGTTCTAAAAGCAAATATGTTAAGCAAGTTCCGAGGATGATTATGGGCAAAAAAAATTCCCGGGTTTCCTTCCTGGATTTCCCGGAAAAGCCAAAAAACCTTGAAAAAATGCAGTTTTTTGCCCATATCTCGGCAACCAGACCACTTAGCGACTTGAATCATTTACCAATCGATTCCTGCCATAATTTAGAACAATATTGCTGAAGAAAGTTTTCAAAAATATCCTTTCGTTCATTAAACTGAGCATCGTGTAGGCCTAGGATGATTTAGCGCAAAGCGCTAAGGTTCGAAAGGATTTTACCATAGCGAATGAGCGGAGGTTCGAAAGGATTTTTTCTATTTTGTTTTGAATTATTGAAACTACTTGTGTTGCATTATTTATTTGCTGAATATATGATTTATCTCGATTTAAAATTGTTATGGATAACATAAGGAAATTGCGCTTAAATTGTCACTAGACTTTTTATTAACTTGTTTTAGAATTAAAGGTATTTGCTATTTAAATGTTCACATTTTAGAGAAACATTACAAGCATGTCATTGAATAGGCTAGTTACTTCATTTTCTTCCTCCCTAAGGGCACACAACTGATTTTGAATGACTAGATAAGATCTGGCAGACATTACTAACTTATTTAAGCAATTTTATAAAGTTCTTTGTAAATTTTCTTAACATTCCTAAAACATAAATCCCAGGAGTTCATGTTTTCAGGGATTCATGATTTGTAAAATTATTGTATAATATTTTAAAAAATCCTATAAATGCCTCAATTTTTAATGGATTTTTCCCCTCTCTACAGTAAAGAAACAAAGTAAAAGGAAAAGAGCTATATATTTGACTGACAAGGACATAAGCATCAAAGCTCGCATGATACGCTGCTATTACCTAGCATGTCAGCCACCACTGGATCCAATGGATATACTCACTCGCCCTGAATACACGGAGTATTGGTCCAGTAAGAGCACCTGGGCCAACTTGACCAAAAATGGACTTGAGCCAGAGGCTATGTCTGACTTAACTATTCCCAAAAGTAGGCAATACACATTTTTAATACACATATCTTTTTTTTCTCTTTTGAAACGTTGAGCAATTTATTTGCATTACAGGGTTCGGCGTGGTCGAGTCGGTAAAGCTCATGGTTGCTAAACCGAAAGTCTCGAGTTCGAACCCTCGGGCAGATGAGGCTCGTTAGCTGGGGACAGCCACTCTTCTAGGAGAGACAACTCCAAAAATTAATCAACTGCTGCCTTGTAGTTTGTTCTTGGTTGGACAAAGGCTATGGAAGCAAATCCAAAAAGAAAAGCAGGCTGAAATCGGAGTCAATGGCCTCAATGGCGCATAACCAGTTGACACGTAACGCTTAATTGTGTTGAAGGCGTGGTCGAGTCGGCAAAAAAGCTCATATTTGATAAATTCGAACAAAGTCTCGAGTTCAAACACACTGGCAGATAAATCTCGATCCCCTTCAACACTAATAATTAAGAACGAAGAAGAAGAAGAAGAAGATTTGCATTACTTTTTTACTTAACCCTCATCACTCCCTGTGGAACTTAAGACATGAACAGATCTCCACCATGACTCCTGAGCCACATGGTTTTGTGCCAGGTTCAGCCATCTCTCTCCTCCATTTACTTATGGTCCTCCTCTCTTTCACTTTCTAGGTAAAATTCATCTCAGTGCCATGTCCAGGAGCTTTTTTTTTTTACATTCACTTGCATAGTTATTTATATTTTTATTTGAAATATAAACATGCTCTTATAATTTAATTATAACATGCATCCAATTTTTAAAAGCAAAAATGATGTAAAACACACTATCAAGTTTTTGTAATCACATCTGTTTGCATGACCCTGCTCACAATTTTTAAAATATTTAAATTTTCTTTTAAGATTCCAACTCACTTGATTAAACAAAACAAAAAAAGCTATATACTGCCACTGGTTTAAAAAAATTATTCTAAAAGATGAATGTCTTTTTAAACAGATAAATGGATCTTGGTTGACAAGCCAATACCAAAACTGGGAAAACTGGTGATTGAAGGAGGCTTAGAATTCTTGGACAATTCTTCCACTTCCTTTGAATTGAATGCCGAATACATTCACATAACTGGCAGACTCATAGCAGGGTGGTCAGAAGACTCACCATTCAAGAGTAAATTGGTCATTACACTAAGGGGAAATCAGTCATCTCCATCATATCCTCAGACAGATGGTCCATCCCTCGGAGCTAAATTTATAGGTTTGTGCATTCTCTCACACACTGTATAACCGAAAATTAGTAGTAGTATTAAATTCAAATGTTATTTAACAACCTAGATTATCATACATTTGAAAATAAAGTAAACTGGGTTTAATTTTATGTTTTTAAATTGAAAATTAATCACTGGATCTTTTATTTAAAACTGATTCTCTTAGGCGTTTTTGGTGGACTACAACTACATGGTGAGGATCGAGGCATTATCAAAACAAAACTAGCAGCCACAGTTTCAAGCGGGAATCAAATCACAGTAGCAGACAAGGTTGCTTGGGTACCAGGAGATGTGATCCTTGTAACAACCACTGACTACAATCCTTGGCACACAGAGACCTTCACGGTCAACGCTGTTAGTGATTACACAATTACCCTCAATGATACCATCAAGTACAAGCATATTGGTGAGTTGTTGTAGTAAACAAGCTATGTGTTTTTACCACTATAGTACTAAAACATTTGTAAAAAAAATGAAATATGAATAAAGATTTAACATTTTTATGAAGTTCTAATTTATATTTATTTATAATGGATTCTAATGCCAAATAAATTCATAAAGAAATAACTTTTTTAACTAGCTCATAGTGAGAATGTAAATGGTGTACTGATTGACTTGAGCGCCACAGTGGCACTGTTGACACGGAACATCAGGATAGAAGGGGAAGACTATCCAAATTTAATCAAAGAATCTTTTGGAGCAAGAGTTGTTGTTGGGCAAGCAAGTTATGCTGGTGATCAAAGAAGTGGTAATGTTTTTTCAAGAATTTATCTAGTAAAGTTTAAAAAAAATTTATATTACCTAAATAGTATTTGCAACACCAGAAGAACAGCTTGTGAAGATAAAACAGTTTAGCTTGGAAGGATTAGAGGAAGCCTATAATAACCTTGCCCAGTGTCGAATAAGATGTGTTGTCACATGCACCAGGAAACACATATAAAATGTTTATTTTTGTTCAGCCACTATCACAATGGGTTAGGTCAAACACATGTTTAGTATAATTGTTTACTTAATGCCTCTTTTCATATACCTCTTAATAGTTAAAAAAAAGTTCTAATTACTAATACTATTTCCATTGTTTGTCCATTTTAAATGTGAATGCACATGAAGAGAATTGAATTCACAGGTTTTGCACAGATTTCCAATGTAGAGTTTTTCCACACTGGTCAGGAAGGTTTTAGTGCAAGCTATGATGCCAGGTTTTCCATTACCTTTGCTGATGTGACAAGTACACCAGGCAAGACAAGGTATTCCTATGTCAAGAAGAGCTCTTTCTACAGCGGCTTCAACACCGCCATTGGTGTTTTTGCTGTTGATGGTTTAGAGGTTGACAATAACATTGTCCATCATACAGTTGGTGCTGGTGAGTCAATATTTTAAAAAAATTAGGTGTGTTCATATTTCATGCTTAAACAAGAACAGATCAAATGTGTACAGCCTACAGTGGTGTTATAGCATGGGATAATATGGACTGGCATTTACTACAATAATGCTTTAGTGTTGTGATCAAGAACAATGTACTAATAGACAGGTGTTGACTTTTTGCCTGTGCTGAATGGTCCTGATGTGCTAGATCATAAATATAAGGATACATTTGTTGACATAAGTGACAACATTTTCATAGGAAAGACAGCAACATTATCCTAAGCACTATAGATATTATTGAGCTTATATGATAATAGTATCACAAATAATCTAGTTTACCCTTAAATTTTTTATGATTCAGATACGAATGAATAAAGCTAAATTTTTGTTGAAAACAACTGATATTTAAGTCCATATATTTTAAAACTTATGCTTATAGTACCTTTGTATTTACTTTTTACTTATATTCATTTTTCTTTGAGTTTTAAAATAAATTAATTCACTATAAAACAGTAAACAGTGATTACAAATTTTTTTGTTTTGGTGATCACAGGTATCCGAACAGAAGCAAAGTCCACCCGCATCACCAACAACCTTGTTGCGTTAAGCATTTGGCCTGGTTCATATCTTGATCGACAAGAAAAAAGTAATCCAAGTTATGAAGGAGCAATTGAGGCTATACTGGCTGAAAATCTTGTCCTTGCTAATAACACAGTAGCTGGGTCTGAAAGAATTGGCTTTCATGTAGCTGGACAGTTTTGTAATACAACTCAAAGTGAGCTTTGGAGCAACAATGTGGCTATTGGAGGACTGATGGGTAAGAAACTGATCAATCTTTCTGGGTCTAAATTTGAAGTGATACAGCTTGTAATGTTGTGTTTATATGTAATTATTTGATTTTGGTTTAAATTATTTGAACTGCTTCCATTTTTAAAAAGTATCTCAGTGACTTATTTTAAATATTTTAAATATTTTTTTAAAATTAGGTGTGTGCATATTCCCTGAAGAAAAAGCCATAGATCAAAAATGTGTAGCCTATAGTGGCTTCACAGCATGGAAGAACCTGGACTTTGGAATTTACTACAATAATCTTGCCAGTGTTGTGATCAAGAAGAATGTGCTCGTGGAGAATGGTGTTAATGTTTGGCCAGCTGTGATTCAGCCAAGTGCTACACTTCATGCCTATGAAGATAAATTTGTTGAGATAACTGACAACATTTTCATAGGAAAGACATCAACATTTTCTGAAACTCTGGATGTTATTGACCCTAATGATGATAACATCAAGTTTAGTGAAAACTCCAGAGGACACGGATCATTGGCACCATGTGGGAAAATTGGTGTTGAGATGACCTCCTTTTCCAGTGGATCAAACAAAGCCCCAACAATGAATGTGGTTGCCATTATGAGTTATCCCGCAATAAAAGGAATCACCATATTAAAAAGTCAGTCAAAGTATTGTTTTATTACCTAATTTAGGGCTGGGAGTTGATATAAATAAATTATTATGAAATTCAAACCCAACTTAACCATTATATTTGTTTAAATGTGTCGAGACCTATTTATCAGTAATCAACACTAATTCCAACTTAGATCATTTTTATAGCAGTACCTGTAAATTATTGAGAACTTGATTGTATGTTATTGTTTAAAGCTAGTATTGTGTATATTTATTAATCTTACAGTCTGGTATCTTACAATTATAGCATCTCACAATTATAGGCCTAAATATAAAATTTATTATTTTAGAGAACAGTTTTGTGAACTTCCATGCATGCACTGGGACCAGAGATTATGCCATTACCACAAATAAGAACAATGATGATGGCAACCATCCACTGCAAATACAACAGACAACTCTGATCAATGTTGAAGCCACTTCAAAATTATTCTTTCATCCTCCTAATGTTGAGTAAGTGTTATTTCATTATTTTGAATTAACCTAATGTTGAGTAAGTGTTATTTCATTATTTTAAATTAATTCTAAAATAATAGTTGTGTTTATATAAAATGCATCTTCTTCTTAAACTTGTGGAGACCCTGAAAACAAAGGGCTGCAACTCCACTTTTACAGCAGATTTGAATTTGAGTGGCCCTTTTTATTTTGGTTCATGTAAACCCAGCAGCTCTTGCTTTGCTTTTAACAGACCTCCTCCAAGATATTTAAAGTCTGCTCAATTTTTTTTCCATGTGGGTTCTATTCTACTGCCTGCTTTGCAAGGTTTTCTTCTTTTCTCTTTAGTGCATGTCTGATCCATCCCTACTTGCTGAATTACAACATCATAGACAAGCAATATTTTTCAATATATTCTAGAATATTGAAAAATATATAGTTCGATAGAATCAGTAATATTTTGAGCATTTAACTTTTTTCATTACTCTGAATATTTGAGATTCTGTGTGGGAGCAGACTCTATATTATGTTAGCATTTGATTCTACCAAAATGTATATCCAACAAATGCAATCTTTTTTATTTATAGCTTTTATTGAATGAGTTGGAAAAAGTTTGGTTAATTTTATTTTTACCCAGCAAAATCAACCCAGCCGACTGTGTGGATATGGACTGTGATGCACTTAAAAAGTGTATGATTCAAGACTTAGATGGAACTTTCCTAGGTCATGTTGGTACTGCTCTACCAGACTCAGCTTATGAATGGGATGGGAATCAACAACATGGTCTGGGAGACTACAGGATTCCAACTAGCATGCTGACGACAAGCACTGGAAAGAAAATCGATGTGCAAAGCTATGCACCTCATAAAGGTAAATAATATATAACTATTTTGTGTAAATTATTTATTACTTCAGATTTAAAATTGTTAAAACTAGTTATGTTTTGAATTATTTTTTTCAGGAATTTATAAAACAGACAACTGCACTTGGATTAAGGAATGGCGAGCTTATGATTGTGGTAACAATTACAGTTGGCGTCTGCTAATCATAGAGAGCATGGACTATGATACTGAAACAAGACGTCTGAGCCCGGTAGCAATATATAACCCTGAAGGATATGTAGATCTTATCAATGGCCCACAGGTAGGCTTAATATTTGAATCATCAATTTTGTTTTGATCTTATCAATGGCCCACAGGTAGGCTTAATATTTGAATCATCAATTTTATTTTGATCTTATCAATGGCCCACAGGTAGGCTTAATATTTGAATCATCAATTTTGTTTTGATCTTATCAATGGCCCACAGGTAGGCTTAATATTTGAATCATCAATTTTGTTTTGACACTAATTTTTAATTAAGGTATAATGGTAAACCATTGAAATTCAAATTTACTAGAATTTCAACTTATGATATGAAAAATTATTGGCCGATTCTAGTCGGAATAAGATACGCATGCGCAATGGAGAGAAACTACGACTTAGCGGCGATGTTTTCGATGGTACTGCGCATGCGTGTGTTTACAACCGCAGAACCCTAATACCAACCCTAATCCTATCCTTAACCCTATCCCTAATCCTATCCCTAACCCTAGCCCTAATCCTATCCCTAACCCTAGCCCTAATCCTATCCCTAACCCTATCCCTAATCCTACCCCTAACCTTCATTCTAGCCCTAACCCTAGCCAACCCTAGCCATAGGTCACTGCGCATGCGCAGAACTATCTTTTGCCGAAAAATCTTATTCCGAGTAGACACTTCGAAAATTATTAGTAAATATTTGGTTTTAGTTAAATATTAAAATATTATACTGAAACATCAGGAACTTGTAGGGTCTACTTAATTTTTTTTTACCCTAGGATCATGGATGGTGTTCTGGCTATACATGTCAAAAACGGTTGAGCACTTTCCAGGCCATTGTAGCACTTGGTAAGTTTTTTTTATACTTTAAATTTGACATTGACTAAGGTAATCAGATTTCAAATTAATAATTATATAGTAAAAACCATAAAATTAACTATTTTGGTAGAAAAAAAAGGTTGTATCTTTTATTTTTAAAAATATTATCTTTAAAACAAACATTTGTTATAAAGTATTTAGTTATTTGACCTAAGGTAATACAATACAAAGATATATCTGTCTTTGTATATTGCCTGAAAAGTTTAATTTAATTGTGTTAAAAATAAAATTTTGTTTATCCTTCAGATCAACCATTTGATATTTACCTCACAAGTACTAACCCTGATGTAATGCGCTACATGCTTTTAAATTCTAAACCAAATGAATGTGTACGTTTGGGCATGTATTACACAACTCAAAATAGACTTGAGGTAATTGTTTTATATACTTGGTTTTTATTATATCAAATTGAATCATTTTATATTTTAAATTAATGATATGTAGCTTTGTCATTTAAGCCACTTTGTGGTAATCAGATGGTTAAACTCAACTAACTCCAGGCTACTGCAAGAAAGTAGTCAACAGACTCATGAGGACCATGTCTATATAACTATTATATAAAAAAAACTGTAAAATATATTCCTCAACAGTTTTCTCCTTCTTTAACTATAGGTAAGAGTAAATGGCACCCTTGTGATGCCCACTAATGGGTACATTGACAGTAAAGGAGCATTCAGGCTTAAAACACAAGAAACAACTAACCAGTGGATGCCTGATGTCAGCAATAAAACTAATGGACAAAATTTCCAAAGGTTTGTCACTCGTATTTACAGAAGATTAAATTTTAGATAGCAGCTCTTCTAGGAGAGACAACTCCAAAATCAAACAGCTGCTGCCTTGAAGTTTGTTCTTGATTGGACAAAGGCTATGGAAGCAGGTTGAAATCTGAGTCAACGACCTTCATTGTGCATAACAAGTTGACATGTATACTTAATTGTGTTGGAGGGAATCCCTTCCAACAATAAAATTAAGAACGCAGAAGAAGAAGATACACATTAATCTAATATTTATAGAATAATTATTGAGATAGTCAATATTCACTAACTTATTCGTCAAAAAGTATGTGACAATTATCTTATTTTCTCATAGCCGTGCAGAAAGTATGGTCTTCTGGATTCAGTGCGGAGGAAGTGCAGAAATAACCGTCACACAAGCACAAGTTATTGTTGTATCCTTCACACTTCCAGCAATGACTGAGGATGAGTTCTTTGGTGAAAAAATTGTTCAAAACCTGGCAGCTTTTCTTAATGTAGATCCCAGGAAGGTAAAGCATTTTAACAATTTGTCATTTTTCATTTTTTTATTTTTCTTGTTTTTCATATCACCTGTTAGTGGTCAGCATGATCGAGTCGGTAAAGCTCATAGTTGCTAAACTGAAAAATTTTAACCCTCAGGCAGATGAGGCTGATTAGCTGGGGACAGCTACTCTTCTAGGAGAGACAACTCCAAAATCAAGCAATTGCTGCCTTGTAGTTTGTTCTTGGTTGGACAAAGGCTATAGAAGCAAATCCAAAAAGAAAAGCAGGCTGAAATCGGAGCCTCAATGGCGCATAACCAGTAGACACATAAACACGGACACCCTTCCAACACTAAAATTAAGAATGAAGAAGAAGATACTACTGTTTTGTAGAATAAAATTGTAAAATTTCAATAACTCTTGTCTAGGTCCGTATTGTAAATATTGTACGAGCTACATCATCAAGTGGCAGACGTAAGAGGGATGAACCTGTAGTAACATTTGTGGTTGAAATTGGTGATGAACCTGGAGAAACTCCTGACAATCAATCATTTGACTTCAGAGAAGCTGGAACTAAAATTTGTCATCATGTAAGTCAAAGTTTAATCTACAACTCAAGGTATCAAGTTATGGCAAATATGTATTTAAGAGGTAAAAGTGGTAGTTGTAAAAATTGTTTGAATCAAAACTTTATTTTGTTTTGTTATTTGGAAGTATTAATTTCATACAATATTCAAACATCACAACTTGTATATTTTATGAACTTCTTGAATTTAAAAAAACCCACTGAAACTAGATTAACAAAAAATAAATTGTATGCACAACATTTACAATTTATATGTCAATATTTTTCTGCTGTCCCAAATAAACTAAATAAACATATATGTACACTTTAGTAAGTCTGTGCCTATATAATGTGAGTCTTTAGTATGTATTTTCATGTTGATTAACATCCGATATTTTGAATACAAAACCTAATAGGCTCAAGTACATGGAATAAACACAATAAACATTTAAACTTCACTAAGACTGTGCCTACATCATGAGATGTCTTCAGTTAGTATTTTCATGTTGGTTGATATCTAATATTTTGAATACAAAACCTAACAGGCTCAAGTACATGGAATGAGTAGTGTACTGAATGCTACAGTGCTGTACACAGAAATATACCAGCCAAACACCACAGATGGCCAACCAGTAGCCATTCAAAAAGTTGGACAAATGATCATGCAAAGTCAAATCAAAGGAAATGTTTCTGACGGTCAAGCTCTTAGTGTACAACCTAAGTTCAAGGTGTTGGATGAAGAAGTAAGTGTTTACGCCTACTGAAATGTCTTTTTTAATTTATAACATAGAAGTAACGATTTCTTTCTTAAGAAATGTTTAAAGACCTTTTTTATAAGTTAAACATGCTTGTTTTTATCTATAGGGAAATCTTGTTGAAAACTTGAATATTTCCTCAACGGACTGGATTATTGAAGCTACCATTAAGTCAGGAGGGAATGAATTTTCTAAGCTGTTAGGCTCAACAAGAGTTACCTTTGTGAATGGATGGGCCAACTTCACTGATCTAGCAGTATTTGGACAAGGTCGCTACACCTTGCAGTTTAGCATTGTTTCACCCCCAGAAGCTACAAATTTTTCTATAACATCCAACGTAATTGAGGTAATTATTCAGCTTTAATACATCAGTCTTTTTTTACAGTGTAATTAGCATTACATTATATAGATTTATGGTCAGGCATTAGTACTTTATAGCAACCTAAATGAGTAGGCCAGGGATTTTTAGACTTTTCTTTAGTATGACACATTGATCATTTGTGATAGAAAATTTGAACACACAATGGTTCTCTTCAAACTTTCAAATATTATTATTGTTAACAATATTGTTATAATAATTTTTGACATAACTCATAATTTCTAAATTGAATTACATTTGCTTACCTTTTTAAGCTTGTACCCGAGTTTCAGTGATAATTTTGTAATACAGTTTCGCTGCTACACATTCTATTTATAAAATCAACTATATTGTTTTTATTCTCTTTCAACCATATTAAATCCTGTATTAAAATTTGAATAGATCTTTGGGCTAAAATTAAACCCTTCTGCTAATCTGACTGCTGCTGTGCAAATTACAAGTCAATCATTTAACCTAACTGTTGGAATTACTGAAAAAGAAACTGGATTACAGCTTCTCAAGACTCTATGGACAGTAAGTATTATTTGATTAAAAAAAAAACTATTCCTTTTATTAGGTCTAATAAAATAAATACTTTGCTTCAGATTCTATTTAATAAAAAAATGTCACTGTTTTATTCTACATACTTAAATAATTAAAAGTAATTCATTATAATATTCAATTTAATGTGAACACTTCTATAAAAACAGAATCTTCAATGGAAAGCAAATGTGACAATTTGGCCTGACAAAATCTATAGTGGAAGCTTAAGTGGAACTGCAACAGTAAATTTGGATTCTTCAACAGGTCTGTTTCAACACTTACATTTTAAAAAGAAATACCTACCAACACCTCATCTAATGATAAATGCTGAACAAAATAAAATTGCTTTTAACAATACAAAAGTATATCTACATTTTCTTAAGTCTTAACCTAGGAATATTAAGAGTGATTTTTCTGTATACACAGTGTCAAGTTTGTGTATAATTTTGTTCTATTTATAGCCACTGCAGTTTTCTCTGACCTGGAGCTTGACCAACCAGGCACTTGCCCAGTTTTAGTGACAATAGTGTCAGAACCAGCCATATATACAACAAAAATGGTGGTTTTTGTTAATGTGGTGACTCCAGCACAGAGAAGCCTCAGTGTAGAAGAAAGACACAGCATAGAGATCAAGTTTGACATTAAATATAATGAAACCACAGCCCTCTACTGGGCTACACAGGTCCGCAACTACTACAGCATACAGCCAGAGATGCGCATAGTTAACAGCACTTATCGTAGAGGTAATATTTTTTAAAGTGTTTTTTTTTTAAATTATATATTTTTACATCATTACTTAATATTTTGTAATTTTAATACTGATTTGTGCTTATAAATTTCTTAGTTCCTGGCAGTCTGTTTGTATCCTTGCTAATTGAGGCTACAAAGAAAGGCTTCAATGACACATTGACGTTGTTGTGTGGTGACATTTCATCCAACAAGACGTTTACTTTTAATACAACTGTAGCATCCATATCCAGATACATGACAGTTGATGATAACACCTATTTTGGTGTTAAATGCGGTGGTCTTATTACCATGGTAAGTTTGTGTTTTTTAAACAAATTTTTTTCCTCAGTATTTAGTACAACAAATTAATGTTAATATAATTTTTTTAGAAATTTAGAATAGTTGCCTATTTTTTTTTACTTTTTTAAACAAATTTTTATCCATATATTTTCAGGAAAATAAAAGAAATCTAGAACCTGTTGCAGAAATTAAAACTCCAAATCGCCTGACAAACACTTCTGTGTTGGTGGAATTGTCTCTGCAAGATTTGGATACAAAAACTATTCTAACTGATTTGAGCTGGGGAGTAAGTCAATTGACCAGAAAAAATTTATAATAAAAACAGCTTGTTTTTTAAATTCATTCTTCATTTCCTCCTAATTAAACTACATTTTAGTAATTCCATTCACATTATATTTAAAATAAAAGGATAAAATCATACATTAATTTAAAATAAATTTACTTAACTTAATGTACATTTTTCAATCATTAAGTCTTTTTTTTTTAAAAAACAAAGCTTGCATTATAAACATTCATTCTATAAATACATTATAATGAATTTATTTCTTTTAAACAATGTTAGTAACCCATTATTTAATTTTTAGGATTACATGTGGACAGCAACTGCAATTAAGTTGCCAAACTCTCCATATCAAGGCAATCTAAGTGGAAACACCACTGTAATCTTGGATCCTCTAACTGGTTAGAGTTTTAATGAAAAATATTTCCTTTTTATCTTCTACATCATTCTACTAATGCTATCTTCTTTTCTTTTTTAACATTTCAGAAAAAACCCACAAATGAATTTTTTTAAAGTTAACCATATTCTATACAGTTTTATCTTAAAAAGCACTTTATTTTTTATTTCTAATAGTATAATTTAAACATTTCCTTTAACATTTTTTTCAGATAGTCTGTAATAGTGAACACACTATTCCTGTTGTTTTAATAGATATTTTTTTTACTAAATTCATTCCCACACATATATAAGTAAATATAGGCTATATAAATAAATAAATAAATAAATAAATATATATATATATATATATATATATATATATATATATATATATATATATATATATATATATATATATATATATATATATATATATATATATATATATATATATATATATATATATATATATGGCTAAATGTTTGTTTATATACAATTTTTTGTAAATACCATGCAGGTAAAGGTGTTTTAGGCTTAAAGCTTGATAAAGCTGGTAAATGTCAAGTATTAGTGACCATTTCATCCAAACCAAATGACTACAACCTGACCAAAGTGGTTGATGTTGATGTCATGACCCATGATCAGTTCAATCTGAAAGTAGAAGAGAAACATGGCTTAGAACTGAAGTTTGATGTGGAATACGATGAAGCACGAGCACCTTTCTGGGCAGCTCAAGTCCGCAACTACTATAGCCAAAATTCACATATGCGAATTGTTGGTGAAACCTGGCGCAAAGGTTGGTTTAAGAAAAACAGGTCGTTTAAAAACATGTACTAGAATTTACCATCTTAATTTGTTTTTAAATAATACTTAAATTTATTGAAATGGTATCTAACAAATTAATATATGTTAAGTAACTGAGATGTGAGAAGAGAATTTGAAATCAGATTTAGATGTCAAAAGCACAAATCTGATATGGAATTGTTTTATTGTTGACAAGTGGACCAGTCCAACTGCTGAATTACATTATAAAATAATTCAATAAATGTTGTCTGTAATGGATACAAATAAAATATTTTTATTAATGCAAGTTTTTTTTTCACCATCAGGAAGTTTAATTGTTACATTACTGATTGAGGCTACCGCCACTGGATACAAAGAGACCTTGACCACCATGTGCAGTGACATCAAGTCCACTACAACATTTACCTTTGACAGCCTTAGTGCCCCAATGGTTGGCTACATGAAAATTGATAACGTGGACTACATTGGTGGTGATACATGTGGTGAACCTGTGCTTGTATGAAAAGATTTTTTTTTTGTACACACGTTAATAGTTTATCTTTTAAAAATAATCTGTTTAAAATTAAGATTCAATTTTAGATTAAATGAGATTAATTAAAATTATATTAGTATATCAATATTTTTATTATAACAAAAGAAATTCTTCATTTTAAATTATTCTATAAAGATAATGTCATTTTGATGTCAAAAAAATATAATGAGAACCACCTACTTAGAATGATATCATAAAAAATTCTGTATATTTCAGCCCTTGGATAAAGAACTAGAGACAAAATACATCATCATAATTGTTGTGCTGAGTGTTGTTGTGGTAGCCCTTGTGGTGTTGTTACTTGTCTACAAGTTCTATCTCAACCCCAAGGCCAAAACTTGTAAGTTAAAATAATTTTATATTAAAATGATGAATTATATTTTTAGATAAGTTTTGAAAACAATCTTTTTTTGATGTTACGAAACTGATAGAGGACAAGTATGAATATTTTTCCTTTTTTTTTTTCAGCTTCAACACCATCTGGTAGCACTGCCTATGTAAACCTGCTCTACAGAGAAGACACCTCCGCCAGCATGAAATCCAATAACTTCATCGTTCCACATGTGCCACCTGCTCAAACTATGTTATTTACAACCACTAATACAATCAAAGAAAATATACAGAGCACTTAATTCCAATTTCTGATGACCAAATGTATAATTCATGTTTTAAAACTTTTCTACAATAACCAATAATATTTAATCCAAATAGTTTCTTTATAGAAAAATTGTTGATGATTTTTATTGTAGATATATTCTATCAAAATAACTTTTTTGATAATTGAAATACAAAGTAATACATTTTTTTTATTTAATAGTAATAACTTACAAAAACATTTTAAGCTAAGAAATACCATCCAATTTTTAATGACAGCTCTATTAAGGCCCACTGTTTTTATTTAGTTTAAAACCAGTCCTGTAAAGGCAGTTTTCAAACAAATAGAAAAAAAAAATGATTTTATAAATTAGTTTCTTGTTCATGTGTAACTGCTGATGTAATATTTTTTAATAATTTATTCCTTTTGTTATTTAATTCCTTTTCTTGAATATAGCAAAGTTTTTAAAAATTACTTTCTTGTTGAAATTTATAAGTAAAATAGTTAAGTTTTCTGCTTCCTGTGATGTTTTTACAAAGATTTTTCAATATTCATATACCTTTTTTGACGACATTCTTTTTTGAGTGTAAATTGTTTGTTATATTTAACCTCTGTTTCTAAAAGAGTTATTGTATTTCTCCCAGCTGTGATAATTTTATACATTTTAAAAAATAAAGAATTTTTAACTTTTTTCAAACTGTTCTTTTTATTTATACATTAGTGTTTATGTTTACTCTGCTTCAAAGAGATCATGCACATATAATTCATTATGTTATATGAATGAGAGGGGTGGAATCAATGTAATTTCCACAAACAATCCACATAAAAGTGAAAAGCAGACATTTCTAGGAAATCTCATAACAATCAAAATGAAGGTTTTAATGGGGATGGATCGGAAACACTTCGCATAAAACAAAATTGCTACACTGCCAGACAGGCACTAGATTGGAATACCCAAGGAAAGAGGAAAGTAGGTAGACCAAAACAAACTTGAGAAACATCAGCTGTCAGTGAAGCAGAAGCAGCCGGAATATCATGGGCCCTACTTAGAGGAATCACCCAGAACTGAGTACAACGGAGAAGTGGGGTTACATCCCTAGGCTCCACAGGAATGATGATGATAATGGAGATTTAAAAACAACGAGCCGACCTGTGGCGTATCATACGCCGCTATTTAGTTGTTTTATTTTCTACTTTTCAATAATTCATAATTTGTGAATTCGACAGTACCAATGCTGCCACTGAAAATATTTGCTTTAAAATACTATCAGTTGGTCGTTAAGGACGATAAACCCCCCCACCCCCCCCCCCGTGAAAGCAGCCTCCTCTTAATTACCTCCCCTAAGTTTAAAATAGTTTCAAACTAAATTATCTGCCCCTAATAGGCGTCACTAAACCCGGCTGTACGATTGTATACATTTAGCGTGAACCAAAGCTCACCAGACCATGTGGGGGTGGGGGAGGTTGATTTATGCCTAGTGAAGAAGAGAGGGGACTGCAAGGCGCGCTTACAGCTTGTTTTCTAGGGTCTCCAAGAAGAGAATTATATATATATATATAGATTGTGCCATGATAAACGATAATTTTGTTTAGAAAGTTATCCATGCTAGAATAAATAGAGCTGACTACGCATCCACTGTTCTGCAACCCATTTGACATCTCTACAACAACATATTAGGATTTTATTTTCAAATGTTGTTGCATGGAGCAGAGACATGGTGCTTCCAAGGCCATCACAAACAAGATACAGACCTTGATTAACAAATGTCTCTGACAGATTCTGGGTTTGAGGTGGCAGGGCTAAGTGCTAACATAGACATGTGGTGAAGGACAAGACACCACATCACAGATAAGGAGGAAGTGTCCCTAGGTGGGGCATACATTGCAACAGGCAGGCACTAATGTGGCAGATCAGGTGCCCAACACAAATGTGGCAGATCAGCTGCTGGAGATGGTGGCAAACACAGATGTGGATGACTGAGTCTTCTCAAAGAATGGAGTACCACAGGGATGTCTAGGGAGATAACAAAATACACAGCCAGGTACTGGGTAACGTGGAAGATTAAGGTCAATGACCTATGCTCCACACTGAGTTAAAAATACTAAAACAGTGGTTCTTAACCTTTTCGAGTTTCATAACCTCACCAGTTTCACATGGGCATTCACCAAACCCATCTTAATAAATCTAGTGTCAGCAGTGACAAAATCCAATAGTGAGACAGACTCACTGAACCCCTGGGGTTCAATCTAACCCAGGTTAAGAACCACTGGACTCAAATAAGTAACTTAGCATAATGTACTTACAAGTTATAAGAAGTAAAAATAAAAAAATTCAATAATAAATTGTGAAGTACAAAGTAATTTTATTTTTTAATTTTAGTGATTATAAGTACTTTCCTGGAATGTGTAACTTACTATTTACATTCAAATTACATATCAACAAAAACATGCACCACAGGAAAGTTCTACTGACCCAACAATTTATACATAAATGATTGTAGTTGATACATATTTTTAAAAATCATCTACACTGAAAATTTAAGGATATTTTTTTTTTCAAATCATAACAGCAATGTAACTTTTCACAGTAGGCCTGATGGAAAAAATTAATATTTCAAAAAACTTTAAACCCATAAATTGAATATATTATCCATGTTATAGTTATACTGGAAAATATATTTTACATGTGTTTTACTTCTCCAAAAATATTCTTTACAATTTTACAGCTTTTATATTTAAGGCATCATTTATCTTTTACAAATTAATTCTTTGTTGCTTTTTTTAGTGAATATATTGCAAATTTCAACACAAAAATATACACTGAGATAAAGCACTCCAAGAGATCCAAAGATTAAAATTTTACAATCATAAAATAGAGAGAATATGGCAGAGTTTGAAATTAAATGTGCTAGTAAAAAATTATGAAATGAAAATTACACATCTAAAAGAAAACCTATTCTTGATTGTAACAATATTTGAATTTAATTATTTTTTTACACCTATAAATTAAAAAATATAAACTGCATGTTACAAAAACAGATTTCAAAGTATGTAAAATCAAAATACTACAATAAAACAGTCTTCTAATAAAAAAAGCAAAATAGAATGTAGTTAAAGTTCCAAAAACCTAGAAAACAATTGTCGAGCATAGTTTTTTTATTTCAGTACATATTTCACAACCATAATTTTGAACTACAGAACAGAATATCAACTGGCTTTAAAAACAAATTAGACAAAAATGATATCATAAGGTGCATCAAGATGAAAGTAAATTATAATCAGTATTCACTTTCAAAAAAATTATTATCTAAAAACATTCTGACTTTGAATTGTAACTACTTCATTATGTTTGTTATATGCCAACCAACCATCAAAACAGTTATTGAACTGCATCATTAAAAACTATTTTAAGACATTGGACTTTGAATAAAACCACAGAAAATTAAAGATAGAAACAGACTTTGGGGTTTAAATCCATTGCTGCAGTTTGAGTGTGCCAGACAAACAGTACTTCCGCTCTAGCAGTTATATTGTACAAAATATCTTGTTTTACTGTAAATGTTTTCTATAAACATTCACTAAATTTAAATCATATCAAAATATCTATACAGGCCCAAGTGCTGCATAGTAGTATAAAATAGTTTCTGTGGAGAACACTGGATTGCATTCCCAGCAAATCACTAGACATTACAGTTCCATTATTTTTGGCTAAGTTTTTTTTACAGTTTGGATGAAAACATCTACTACATAAACTGATGAAAAAAAAACCATTCACAATTCACATACATCATTTGGTTCACTGAAAAGAGCAACAGGTATTTATGTGAATAATACACATTTATAAAACTTATCAAAATTTTTTTATTTACTTTACATTGGTTAAAAATAAGATACATTTATAAATATAGTTAAGATCTGAAATAGTAAACAAGCAAAAAGGTTGTCAGATTTTAAGATATGTTTCTAATATACTTTACTGATAGCATGTTGCATAATAAAAATGTTATTGTACAATTTTAACAAATAGTTTTTTTTAAAAACAAAGAGAATGAAAGAGTAGTACAACATAACATCAAGCAACTCAAATTTTATCAGATCTATATAAACCAACAAGGAAATATGTAGTCCAATCATAATCAATCTTAATAATTAAAATATTTTTTTAAGTATTTGATAATTTTCAAGTTAGCATAATTATTAAAATTACTGTTATTAATGTGAATGTAAACAATAATGAGATCTTACAGTAAAATATAATCCTTTCCATTAGTTTTATGAAAGTAAGAACTTTATCAAAACAATAGAATGTTGATGTTTAACAAAATATTTTTAAATTAAAAAGGTGTTAAAAAGGTTCTAAAAAAAGGATTATGCAGATTATGCATTGTAATGAGTTTGTAATCAGTCTTTTAATTTTATTCAATAACATCACAAGTAAAAGGTAGGAAAGAACAATGTTCCAAAAGCAAAATAAAAAAATAAAAGCCCAAAACCAAAGCACATATTTGTTGAAAGATGACACGTTGGGATTCCCAACAATAAACAACGGAAAGTGGAAAATTATTTTCAACTTAACAGAGAAAACCAAGTGGAAATAAAATACAAGGAACTCAATAAGAAAGACTAAAAAAAATTAAAATACAAACGCCAACAACAGCATGATTTTTCAACTTTAAGGAGCTGAAAAAGTGAATTACAATTTGACCCATTTCATGTTAACCAGCTATTTAAATACGTTGTTTAATAGCATTTAACCTTAAGAACATATAACACATTCAGTTTTTTTCTAGGCATATCAAAATAAACATAACAAGGTTTTCACAACCATTCAGAAAAGTTGTTTGGTAAATGCTTTGAAAAAATATATCTGATCACCATTCCTTTCAACTTCTAATATACAAAATGAAATGTTTAACAACAGATAATAATAACAGTAACACAAAGTTTTCCACAACTCAAGTCAGTGAAGGAAAAAAATGTACACAAGAAGTTATGCTAACAGCAATAACAAATAAATAAGAGTATTGTTAACATACTGGAATAGCGCAGGAGAGGTCTGTAGGTGATATGTAATGTTAACCTAACAATGTAAGCCAATTCATACGTAAAAAACAGTGACTTCTTTGACGACCTGGAACATGACTTGCAAAATTGAATATTGAGAGACCTTAGAAACAAACAAGGCAGACAAGAGATAACTAGACATGTATCCAGCGCCCAGGTGCTGTTTTAGTATTTGTCTGCTTACATGATGTTGGGCATATTCACGCAAGGCCACAGAGCTACTGTTATTTAAAAATTCATTGTTTTTGGAATGATTTTTTTTACATAAATATAATAAATATAACTTGTCAGTTTAAACTGCCAAAATATTTTAAGTGAAAACATGTAAACTTTCTTTAAAAATGTAAACAAACAATACTAGATAAGTTTTAAAAATATTCATTTTAGTTTAATCCATTGTAATGCTGCCATTTAAAAGTTGCAATTTTTTTTTTTGCTCAATAGAATAAAATTATGTGTTTTATGTGTTTTAGAAACCTTATTTAAATTTTGTGTATATTTTAAAACTGAAAATTATTTTTTCAAAACAAAAATTATGTAATTAAAATTTGTTTAGCAGCCAGTGCTGAATAAAGGCAGTCAACAAAGCAAACACATTTTATCATGTTTCTTTTAGCATATAAGGACAATGTGGGTAAATATATTAGTTTGGTAATAGTTTGAATATAAGAAGATATGTATTTAATATGTTATTCAGAACAGGCAGTATATTGTTAATAAATTATGTACAGAGTTTAAATTCTATGTTACATCTTCCATTCAGTCTGCAGTCCAACGTATCAACCTCGTACACATGAATAAATAAAGCGCTCACTCTCACAGTTAACTTCTGGGGGCCAGTGGTTTCAAATCATCCCCAGCTGCCAGCGCCTCAGGACAATGCACCATAACTCTTGCTACCAGGCCATCAATGTAGGTTTTCATATCTGCGTTTTCTTGTTTTAATGCTGCAAAATAACATATATTAGTCAATTCATCAATAAATTAATTTTTTTTAAAAATGTTTTTTAAAAAATACAGCAACATAGGCTATATTTATACATATTTATTATGTTATTAAATAACATATATTAGTTAATTCATCAATAAATGTATTTTAAAAAAAATGTTTTTAAAAAAATACAGCTACATAGCCTATATTTATACAAGAAATAAAAATGTATCACCTTGATTTTCTTTGTGCAAACGTAAGATCTCAGCTTGAAGTTCAGCTTTCTCAGCATCTGTTGAGTGGGTTTTAATACATTATAAAATGAGAATATCTTCTTCATGAAAAACATGTTGCAAATAGAATAATAAATTAATTATTCATCATAACTATTATGACAAGACTAGACAATACTTTGAGGCATACCAACCCCCTCTCCCTATGAACAACACAACTCACTCTTCTTGCTGTCTGTATCCTTATTTGTATCTACCACAGATTCACTAGCTGTCCGAGTGTGTTTCTGGTAATTTTTCTTGAACTTCCCACCAGGACTTGAGGTGCTACTTGATGCTTCCCCTTCACAAGACACATGAATTCTGGGTAAGGTGGCAGAGCCTGACAGAGGGATTGTTTTTCTTTGTCTGTCCTCCTGGTAAGATTGAGAAGATTTTTTTCTTATACATAAGTAAACACTCATCCCTTTTAAAATTAATAAAATAACTTTATCTCTAAATATAATAACAGGTGGATACAAGTCTTCAAGTTACATGTTGGGTATGGGGGTATAAAAGAATCTATTGGAGGGTATAATGGACAGCATGGTCAGAAGGTAAACAGAAAGTCTCCAGTTCGGATCCCATGTTAGTCTTAGAATGTCCCTGAATCTACCCAACTCTGATGAGTACCTGAATAGTGAACAGCGTAAGGGATAATAAAGGTGACTGGGCACATAACTGACCACACTATCCCTTGATATGTTGAGGTCACATAAGCAGATGAATTATACTCCATCTGCCCTTATGACTGCCAGGACTGAAAGAGTACCTTTTACCATTGAATATAAGTTACACTATAAATTGAGTGTAAACTATATTACTCATGTTGTGTTTGATGAAATATTTGGGTTAAGCCGTACCTGATTGAGTGAAGATGACCGCTCTATACCAACAGTGACTTCTTTCTCTGTGGTCACCTTGTTTTCAGCAACTGGAGACTTGTCTGCTAAACTTTCAGCCAAGGCTGAGTTCTTTCCTCGGCTGGATATGGACCCATTTTCAGAGATCTTTTTATCTGGCAGAGGGGTTGTGGTTGCAGATCTATCCACAAATGTGAAGATGTTTTTGATGACATTTTGACCCCCCGAGGCTGTCTCAATCCAGAGGTCCCCCTTCCCTGCTGCGGTAGGTTTGGTGGTCACATAGATTCTATTCTCCGACTCAAACTCTATAGTGTCTACAAGCTCTGAACCACACAGTATCAGCTCTAAAATATCAGATTTACCCAGGCCTAAGTTCCGGCCTTCCAGGACTATTCTGGTTCCTCCGTGTATGGAGGCCATGTTGGGGACAATGTGTGTGACCACTGGGATTTCCCGTCCAGTATTGTCTAAACCAGATCCCAGACTAGGGAAACGGAGACTGAAGCGTTTATTTTTACTCCCAGGCTGGTCTTCATCTAGCTGTTCCGTACTGCCGTTAAATCTACCCAGATGAAAGATATCATGAATGGACTTGGAGAGTTTTTTGTTAAAGTTTGCGAGGGAGCTGGACTTTCTCTTTTCATCTTTCTCTTCTTTTTTCACCGTCCCCGGTGAGGGTGAAAAGTTTTGTTTCAGACGTTGAAAGCCTCTAAGCTGGACGCCGCCGTTGTTTGACCTGATCTGAGGGGACATCATCACTGGCCTCTGCTTGGACACAAAGCACTGGAAGATTAACTCCCCCTGGGGTGCCGGGCACTTTTTGTGAGGCTTGAGGGGAGACTTTTTTACAACGCCTTTGACTGTGAGAAGGGAGGCAACTGGGATGATAATCTGTCCAAGAACATCATCCTTTTCAGTCACAGTGAAGAAAACATGGTCGCTTGCATTGGTTACGTGGCTGGTGACAACAAGAGAAGATTTAGTTTCACACATGACACAAGTTTAAGGTCTTCTACAATAATGGTTTACAATTAAGTTACATTTTGTGTCTACATATGTATATATTTTAACCCTTGAAACAAAAATAATTGCAGAAAGAAAGCCTTTTATAGCTGGGAAAACAATGTTAACATGTTCAAAATTTTCGAAAAAATCTGTAAAAAAAAATCTGTCAAAATGTAAGACTGTAACTTACACAACAGACTCTTCATTCCAGTCTGGGTTGCCAGTGGCTTCTTTAACAACAGTTGTTCTGTACTTCTTAGTTCCAACACCAAAAATAACGGAGAATTTATGCCTCCCTGCACACACAAAAAAGATTACGTTACAAGTTTTTAAAAAAATGTACTTTAAGTTATTACAACTTTCTTGTTGCAAATGATATGTCTGTTCTGTAACAGAATCTAACTTAGTTATCTAAATACTATCTATGTAAGTTATACTAAAATATATTATTTGAGATGTCTTTACCTGGCTTCTTCCCTTGCAGTCCCCTAGCTCCATGTACTGGAATGAGATAAAAATGATATTTAGTTTTGCTATATGTATCAATATGTTCTGGGTTAAGTATCAATAGTTTCTAGGCTATAGATTTTAAATAATTTACAGTATAGCAGAGTTGAGTTCTTATCAGTGAATTTGACCTTAACAAGTATAAGTTTTGTTGGCATGTTTTAATCTCCACATAACTGATATTGTAAAACTTGCTGATTAAGTGAATGTATGAATACTCTCAATCTGTTTGTTTAAATAAGAACATTGTGTTTTATTTGTGTTTATTTCCAAATGTTTATAAAAACTTAATTAATTTTCTAATGATTTTCTGTACAGTATTTTACCAAATAGAAAGAGGTTTCAAAGTAAAGAACATCTGGTAAACTCTAATATAAACAAACAATAGCTGTTGGAAATTATAAACATAGATGTAAACTAACATTATCTCTCTGTAAACTCTTAACACAGATTACTGAGCAAAGTCCCCTCCCCCCCCCACCCCTAAACAACAGATGTCAAACAGATTAGCCAAAGCCGTTTTGTATCAGCAGAAAACCAAATATTTGAGGAGATCTATGTTCCTGTTAAGTTCAAGGTGAAGTGACTCTGTTGAAAGCAACTTTAAACAGGATAGATCTTGTCTCTGGCTGACAACAGAAGATAAACCCAGATACACTCTATACAAGTAGACTGAGGAATGGGATATGAAAAAATGCTACAAAATTGTTTGAAACATCAACCCTTAAAATGTACATTTTTACAACCACTTATAGAGTGTTGAATATTTTATGCATGCTGGAAACATAAGAAACTGAGAAATGTTTAAAGCCAGAGATAAAAGTTTTAACCAGTTAAATAAAACTACACTGTTATATGACCTTGAAAACATGACAGTAAATATACATGTGTGTGAATATGGGGGTGGGGGGGGGGATAATGGTGAGTGTTAAAAACGGGCTGAATAGATTGTTATCAGTGCAGAATTTCTGCTAGACTGGGTCAAAGAAAATGTTTTGTAAGTTCCAGTGTGTGAGGATAATAGCCGGCATTCCGTCCCATACAGTGTGTTTAAGTCCCATACAGTGTGTTTACGTGGATGAACATCCTATTATGCTGGGAGGACACGCTGTCAGACACGTTGGTCTGCCTTAGGTATGTGGTGCCCAGATAAACAGGTGACGTGGTCCTGTCTCCCCCATCTACAGGGGAACACACATTTGTAATGGAAGCTTGTGTAAGGAAAGACTCGCCCCCCCCCCCCCCCAATCACGTACAGAACAGTAATTAAAGCAACTAAACATCACGATTTAGACCGACCCTCCCCTGGATTTGACGTAACCACTTCCACAAAGACGACAAACAATCAGCTGGTCGCCCATCTTTAGCCTTTAATTAGATCACGTGACAAGCAGGTCAAACCTGTAGGACGACGGTACTGGTACGTCAAGTGTCAACTACACTCATTGTTCAATTCTCACGTCTGCTTTACCGTGTCCACGCTAGCCTAGTAATGGTGTAGAGCGGTAATTAGCCTAAACGACACGGTATTGTTATATCTGGTAACTAGGCGAGGTCGTGGGACAAGCTGAGTCTTACAGTAATTTATAATGGAGTGTTGAATTCATGGGCAGGTAAGCGGGCTACACAGTATCCACATACCACAGACACATTGGAGCGTGCAGGATCGATGGGCTGCCCTCACCCGGAATGTTTTGGTTGGGAGACTGGGGAGTTGGCAACCAAGTAAACAATACTGTCAATACATTTTCCTTCAGCTGATGCAAGCTTTGTCGCAATCACAGACCCACTTTATAATAGTGCATGGGTTTATTCTAGACCAGGCCCACTCTATAGGCCTACATCAGCATGGGCGCTCGTCTTGAATTATATTTATACAAATGAATTATCTGAAGCCAAAAACAATATTCTTAGCGACAAGTTTTAAGTCGGTTATTTAAAACAACATGACTACATTTATTTGACTCTATTTTTAACCCTTGGAATGCTGTGTTGTCGGAATGCTCGTGTTTGCTATCCTATTATAATAAGCGCATCGTGTTCTACTGCTTATTTCGTCGACACGCACGGTAAACGAGTTACACCATCTTATGCGTCTATGACGGGCCCTATGACCTTTTCTTCAGGATCAGCCCGAATAAGCACGACCGAAAAATGAATTGTATTCTTTATATAAATCGACCATTTAGAAATACTATCAATGTAAAAGTATAAAAATGAACCTGTTTACGTGCACACATTTTAAAATGTTTATGTGGGGTATACATAGCAACATAGTGTTTGTACAATGCAGGCTAGGCTTACTAAACATAGGCTGACGTATAGTGTAGTTAAACAAGGAAAGTCTACAAGACAGGAAGGGTTCAAGGGAAGTCTACAAACAGGAAGGCTTCGGTGTTTACAAGGAAGTAGAAATATGGCACAGGGAAAACAAAAATAAGACGCAATAATAAATCCAATCGTCCATCGATTTGGTAGTAACCCCGCCCCCTCTCGTGACTTTATAAGGTTGCTGTCAATCTTATCAATAATTTGAATGAAAGTCATTATGACAATATCGATTGTTGACGTAATGAGTTGAGGACACGCATAGCCCAACAGGTAGTATGGGGGTCGTCTTTTAACTAGCTAATGGTTTGCTCAACTGTAGGTCTACACGCAATAAGTCATCAAGGCGACATTCACATGGCCGACCCTGCTCACATTTTTAACCACCCACCTGACGTGACAATCTGTAACCACCCATCTGACGTGACAATCTTTAACCACCCGCCTGACGTGACCATCTTTAACCACCCACCTGGCGTGACAAACTTTAACCACCCACCTGGCGTGACAAACTTTAACCACCCACCTGACGTGACAATCTTTAACCACCCGCCCGACGTGACAATCTTTAACCACCCGCCTGACGTGACAATCTTTAACCACCCGCCTGACGTGACAATCTTTAACCACCCACCTGACATGACAAACTTTAAACACCCGCCTGACGTGACAATCTTTAACCACCCGCCTGACGTGACAATCTTTAACCACCCACCTGACGTGACAATCTTTAACCACCCGCCTGACGTGACAATCTTTAACCACCCACCTGACGTGACAATCTTTAACCACCCACCTGACGTGACAATCTTTAACCACCCGCCTGACGTGACAACTTCTCTGGCACACACACATGGAACTGTGACAAACCCAATATAACCGACGAGGTGACCCGTGGCTATGATACGCCGCTATTTAGTTGTTTTTTTTTCTCTACTTTTCAGTAGGCCTACTTCATAGTGAATTCGACACTACCCTCCCTTCCTTTAGTTTCAGATCGCTTAAAAGCTAAGTTATCTGCCCCTAATAGCCGTTACTAATTCTACCCGGCTCTACGATTGTAAACATTCGGGGTGAACCTTAGCTCACCAGAATGGTGGGGGTGGGGTGCTAGCTATATGCTTAGAGAGCGGGTGTGTAACGGCGTACGTTTATGCATGGTCTCGCAAGGTCCCCATGAAGAGAATTATATAAATAGATACTGAATCGATATGAGAATACTAAACATAATCCTGCCCTTCACGCATTGACAAACTGCGACAAACCCAATATAACCAATACTGAATCGATATGAGAATACTAAACATAATCCTGCCCTTCACGCATTGACAAACTGCGACAAACCCAATATAACCAATACTGAATCGATATGAGAATACTAAACATAATTCTGCCCTTCACGCATTGACAAACTGCGACAAACCCAATATAACCAATACTGAATCGATATGAGAATACTAAACATAATCCTGCCCTTCACGCATTGACAAACTGCGACAAACCCAATATAACCAATACTGAATCGATATGAGAATACTAAACATAATCCTGCCATTCACGCATTGACAAACTGCGACAAACCCAATATAACCAATACTGAATCGATATGAGAATACTAAACATAATCCTGCCCTTCACGCATTGACAACACCGTCAGCGGGTGTTTGGAGGGTAAAAACATGAGTCAACCAAACTTTGGTTGTAAAACGTAAAAATGGGATCAAGAGCACTTTACTGAGTGAAAAATGGAAGGCAACTTGAAAGTTAACGGCACACATATAAAATGTCATTTCAACCTAAGCAGTAGGCCGACAACGTGAGATTGTTGAGGACAAGTGGAAGAACGGGTGCACTGTATTGGTATATCCTGACATTAACGTGAGATATATTCACTGGTTTAAGACAGGCCTTCGTGAGAGGAGGAGGGAGGAGGTGGGGGGGGGAAGTGTCCATACAAAACGTCACACCCCAGAGAACATGCGACGTATATAATAATTTTTTAATTAATTAGGAATCGACTTTTTAATTCTGGTGAGAATCAGTATTTGTGTGTGAGGGGTGTGGGGGTAAAGGCGTGTAACTTGCGTCATTATTGTGACAAGTGCCGATTCAGAGGTGGGGGTAAAAAGCGCGACTGCATTAATGTGCGGCCCTTTAATTAGCTAATGCCTACCATCTACCACCGATTGTTGTGAACAGATACGCCACTTACATTACATTGGTCAAATAACCAAGTAAAACGTCGCCTTTATGCCGCTTTCTTTCTATTCCATTGTAAAAACCAACAAACAAAACGTTGCAGGTAATTAGGAAGGCTGAGCAACAGGTGGACAACTTAACGCTGGACTAACAAACGGCTATGTCAACAGTTCGACTCATCAAACAGGATTAAAGTGGGCCAACCTGTGGAGAACATGCCGACGCTAATTTTGGTGGCGTTCTGATTCAACAACAACAACACGTGGGAAAGTCTCTAATCTTGGTGGTCTCTAATCTTGGTGGCGTTCTGATTCAACATCAACACATGGGAAAGTCTCTAATCTTGGTGGCGTTCTGATTCAACATCAACACATGGGAAAGTCTCTAATCTTGGTGGGGTTCTGATTCAACAACAACACACGGGAAAGTCTCTAATCTTGGTGGAGTTCTACAACAACACACGGGAA